TCTTGATTGCAGAGACTAGTACTAAAATAAAAATCACTAATAAAATCTCTCGTTACAAACGTTCATCGTTGAATGTTCTTTGTGAGGTGGTGTATTCTGTAAAAGATGTACACTAGATGACGCCGAGCGTTGCTAAAAATGCAATAGAAAGGTCGTAGATAGATGTCGAGATTTTAGCCCCTTGAGGTCATCGGCCGCTTAGCTTAGTTGGTAAAGCGTCTGGCCAAACGAAAAGGTTAAGTACACGGCACAAGTATTTGTGGGGAGCACAAATAATTGATCCCGTATCTTCATGTTTGCTCTCAAAGAGTCATCACGTCATTTAGACATTCGGTACTGAAAACCTTACTAATATTATAAACGCGAAAGTTTGTATGTATGGATGGATTTTTGTTACTCTTTCACGCAAATACTATCTACTGAATGGATTATAATGAAATTTTACAATAATATAGCTTATACATCAGAATAAGACATAGGCTATAATTTATATACATATTTTTAATGTATATCTGTCTTTCTGTCTGAATGTTACGCCTTCAGCCGTCATTGTAACGCCGTGAACCGTGGTGTCACTCGCACGCAATGAAAACATCATTATAGATGATGCATGTCAATACTGCGCGGCGTTTAAAAATTGTTCCGCTCTACATCTATCTATCTTATCCTTTAAACGAGCAATTCTTGTGTATATATATATAATCTGGAATCTCGGAAACGGCTCCAGCGATTTTCATAAAATTTTGTATGTGCGTAGATTCGGGGGCGAAAAATCAATCTGACTTGGTCTCATTTTTAGAAAATGTCGTTTTGTTCCAGTTTTCAGGGAATGAAAAATATCATTCGAATATGACGGTAAATTTCGCCGCAAAAAAATGTCATAATAGCTCGGTCGGTAATCGGGCGGCCCCAAAACAGACGGCCGCGGTTCGTATCACGATCATTTACACACTTATTTTTTTACTTTTTTTAAAAAATACCGAGCAAAGCTCGGTCATCCAGGTACTTATCATTTATATGACATAAAATATATGTAAATGTGACAGATGATATAGAACGTACGATATAGAAAGAGATAGCAGTCTATAGAATTGCAATCTAATTGCACCAATTGGTCTAATTTGAGTGCCTCAATTTCGGTGCTCTAGTGTCATATCATTCATTGTTAATGCACATCGTAAGAATTGCCGCTCATAATTTTTCCAAAACCCGCCAAAAGAATGATAAATTCGAAAACCTCCAATAAAACGTCAGAATTAAAAAGATACATCAATCGGTTTTTGTTAACATCGAACATCGGCGTAAAATCGACGTGTTGCGTTGAACATTAGAGGCGCGCGTCTCCTCGTTATGTTTACACGATACTATTTAGATAACGAAGTGGGGGCCGGCCGGTCGGCCGCACCGTCGCGTCGCCTCGACGGCCGCTCGCCATTTCGACGGACCGACGTCGTTTCGAATAGCCGTCGCCTTATTCAATATGCGCGGTCATTCGGACTGAATATAGTCATTTTGACTATTGTCGTCATTTCGACGAATGACGAACTTCGTTATTTTGACGAACTATTTGTCGTCAAGGAATAGCAGTTCGGTTGGACACTCACGGGTTGCGACGACTGCAAAGGTAAACAAACACCGTGTGTGTTTGCCTTTTTGTTTTTAAATGTATAGATCAGAATGAGTTAGACAGAGAGGGCGAGATTATCTTCTATTGGTTTATTGTTAATGCGATTATCTGCCGTAGTTAAAATGAGAAAGGTTTTTTAAACATTTCAGAACACTCTTTCGCGAAACCCTTCATAACCAAACATTAAACTCGTCAAATATTTCTTTCACTAAGTATTTGTTGAATGGTGAATCCTCATTCCAAATTTACGATGCACGATTTCCTAATACAACGGCGGGAGAAACGCAGTGGTAGCCCTTAAGGTAGAAATATTAAAAAAAATCCTTCCTTCCGCTACAAAATATTACACCCAAATTGCGTCACGCGTCGCGATATTACACACAGCCAATGACTGCGGTTCTCCTTTCAATTTCCTTATCATCGTTCGTTTACTCCGTCGAGTGCAAAGCTGAACTTTCAGATGCACATGCAAAATGCTTAGAGGGCTGGCTCATTCGAATGCCTCATACTAACAGTTTCAATACGTTTTACCACTGGACGAATCGCAGAAGTATAACACTGACACTTCACGCCGGTCTTCCGTGAGGCACGACCTCACGGAAGACCTGCTTACCCGAACGGATCTGCCCATATTTGCAACAGCAAACACAGTAAAAACTCGTTGCGGTGGCGGCATACAATTTTCTAAAGGACGCCACAGTGAAAAAAATAACGATAACAGTTTCTCAAATAAAAAGTAACATGTTCCCGGGAGGGTTTCATTTTAGAATTCCGTAATTGCTTTTTTTTTATTTTTTTATGGTAGGTGACCAGGTCCAGAAGCTTTCAGTATACCCAACGTGAAAGTGACACCCATTTTTCTAAAGGGCCCCAGTGAAAATGACAGACCCCGCAAATTAAAAGTAACATGTTCTCAGAGTTCTAGTTTTGAATTCCCTGATTTGTTTTGTTTTTCGAAGCGTCCAGTTTCAAGAGCTTTAAATTTATATATTTTTAGATATGACAATTGTTCATGGCGGCCTTAATAACTTAACATCAGATGAAATTGCTCGTTTGCTACATTCTCACATAAAAAATATGTTCAACTGTTGTTTAGGTGATTTTACCGCCGTCCATTAACATTTGGAATATTTGAGTGTGCCGTTACATTTTAAATAAGTGCGTGATTCTTAGTGGTGTGTAATATTTCAAACATGCATACATGAAGAGCGTCACTAAATACATAAAAACAGTGTAAGACTCTGGTGCGGGAGGAATGTACGAACATTTTGTCACACAGTTTGACTTGTACTTTGGTTATGGTTTGATGGATGGGACGATGTGCTTTTTTTCCAAGTTGATCAAATCGACTTGAAATGATCATGAAATCGACTTGCTAATCGATTTGAGTCGACTTGGCGTCTAACAAGTATAATTTTTAACAAAAAAAACGACTTCTAACCGGAAACTAAAAAAAAATATTGTTATAAATATCTATATATATAATACCTATAACATTTGAGGATTACCCTCGATTTTTGTGGGATGCCATCATTAGATCCGGGTTATGGTTATGGTACCACCCTTGGGATATCTCCTTTCTAACAAAAAAGGAATTATCAAAATCGGTTCATAAACCACGAACACACAAAAAAATATACGGTCGAATTGAGAAACCTCCTTTTTTGAAGTCGGTTAAAATCATGGATCACGAAATCGGGATATGTTTCATTACAACTCAAGCTTCATTCGTGACTTCGCTTTAATAACTGTTTAGGTTTTAATACAATAAAAAAGGAAAAATTACGCACATTTTCTGGATAAAAATGTTTCATTTACAATAATACTTTTATTTTCTAATAAAATCAATGATATTCGATAGAAACAACAACAAAGGAAAAAGAAAATTAAAATGCTTTTTATAAATATATAATATTTATAGATAACGAATTATGCTAACGGCATATCGAACGATAATAAATATATGTATATAATATTTACAAATAATCACTTTTTATATTATAAAAGCCTATTACATTTAGCAAACAAAATAATCAGCGACCAGCGACTTGCGTCAATTTCAAATTTCCATCTGTCGACACCCAGTCAGATAACAGCTACCGATCGAGCCGAGGTCCGGCCCTCTCGGGCACCCTCGAATCGGAATGCTAAACGCGTTCTGAGTGACAGCCCAAGCCGAGGTCCCCTCTCGGGGACCCTTGAGCCTGATCACTCCATGGAGCCCCCGCCAAAGCGCCCTAAGAGCTAGGCGGCCTCCCAAACCGGTGAATTAAATAGCGTGACGGCCCGAGCCGAGGTTCCTTCGGGAGCCCTCGAGCTTAGTCACCATAACGCGTAATAATAAATACGCGAGGTTCAGGCTAGGCGCCTCGAGCGCCCGGCCCCCTCAAGTCCGTCGGATCTGTAAAGGCCCCTAAGGCCAACAGTGGCTCATCAAGCCCAAAAAAAAAAATCTGTCGACACCGATTTAGACGAATTGAATGGCGCGAATCGCTAAGCTTCTTTCTCACTCTGATTCGTTCATTAGGCATCTCGCTAGCATACTCGACTTGGAGTCGACTTCAAACCATTGTTTCTTTCTCACTCTGACTCGTTCATTATGTATCTCGCCAGCTCGCTCGACTCTGAGTTGACGTCGAATCGTTAGTAGTAGCGAATTGCCGCGAAGCCGACGTGAGGTCTTCACCGATTCAGACGCAAGATCGATTCTTTGTTTCTTTCTCACTCTGACTCGTTCATTAAGTATCTCGCTAGCTTACTCGACTTGGAGTCAACTTCAAATCATTGTTTCTTTCTCACTCGGACTCGTTCATTAAGTATCTCGCTAGCTCGCTCGACTCGGAGTTGACTTCGAATCCTTTGTAATAGCGAATTGCCGCGACGCCGACTTGAGATCGTAACGCGAGCCCGAATCGCGAGGCGACTCAAACTCGAACCAACTCAGTTAGACTAAAATGTCAGATCGATTCGACGACTTCAAGCGTCACGTCGACTCAGTTCGACTTACGCAAGTCGACGCGCCCATCGCTAGTTTCGCGACAAGCGTATATTAATATCATGATAACGTTAAGAAACTATTAACAAACAATTAAACTTATATGGTTACTGCCATAGTATGTAGATAATATTTTAAAATTTCATTCGATTATATCTAAAATAATTGTATAATTCTGTTACTTGGTTGTTATTACATGTTTAATGCAATTTTTAATTTTAATTATTAATTTAAAAGCTGTGACAGGGTAGGAAATCCTGAGAGAAGATAGATGAAACATGATAAATGTGTACGGTTAGAATTGTTTTCGAAATGACGATTGACACAAGTGTTTTATAATTATTAGAAGCGTATTAAAAGTAAGTGTTTCTTTTCCAGAACGATTCTGCGACGTGACCCTGTACTGCTCGCCGAGTTTCGCCACGCAGGTGCCCAATAAGGACACCGTCGAGCCGCAGAACATTCGAGGGGTGTCCCTCAGGGCGCATAGGTCGGTCCTCTGTTGTTATCTCACTAAAATAATGAAATGAAATTCAATTACAATTTCATTTACTTCACTACATTGAAATTTTATTTTCGGTCTTTTTTTATTTTTTTTATTTTTGTTTTATTTCTTCTGCTTCTATGTTCTGTGCGTAAACACTGTGAAAGGTCATTTATTCTTTAACAGTCGTATTGCAAGTTTTACATATACTTACACATGCATTTGCTTTAATAATTTTTATTTTTATTTATTGAATCTTTATTGCACTTAAAATTATACTAGACAATCTACTAAATATATAAGATAATCTTAATTCTGCATTCTCTACCAGCTAACCCTAGGTAAAACAGAAAGAAAATGACTAGGGCAGTAAAGTTAAAAAGCAGAATTAAACACTATGCATATAATAATGAGTAATAAATTGTAGTAATACTTACATAAACATACACACATGTTCATACATAATAAAAATACTTAAATATTTAGATTCCAAATATAATAATAATAATAATAGGTCTTTATTGGTCTAAAATCACAAATCATGTAGGTACAAGTAATTTAAAATACAATTATATTGGTCAGATCTTAGACTAAAAGGTCTGGGGTTGAGGTTTGTTACTCACATTGTGCACAACACTGATTTTCTACCCCAGCTTGACATTAACTAACAGAACACTTTTAAAATTTTTATAATTGAAGAAGAAAACATAATAATAATAATGGGAAAAAATAACAATAGCTAAAAACTTTACTATGAAATTAAAGCATACCATTATAATGATCAATGTAATCTGCAATGTCTTATGTGGTACCAGAGAGCTGTTGTTGCATCAGAATCCAATTTTTATATTTTGTTTTAAAATGATATACTGACCGCAGCCCGCGAATAGGTGGTGGTAAATCATTCCAGCATTTTGATGCAACAATTTTAAAGCAGCCTCGTGTTTGCACTAGATTATGTCTTGGAACAATAAGAGATTTAGTACGCGCCCTAAGTTTGTTATTAACATTGGATGCCCATTTAAATTTATTGTATAAATAGGGCGGTACTTTAAAGTTGAATAATGAGCACATGAAACAAGTCAGTTTTAAAGTTCTTGTAGACGACATGTTCAATATACCTTTCTCAGCCAGATACGGTGATATACGATGTCGCTTAGGTATAGAGTAGCAATATCTTAAGCATGCATTTTGAACCCTTTGAATAGCTTTTGAAGTTTTTTGGAAAAGACACGGACCGTATACGATATCGCAATAATGTAAATGAGATAAAACAAGCGTATTACATAGCTGCAACCGTAACTTATTGTCAATGAAATTTCTAAGCTTATAGATAGTTTTGAGAGCTGCAAAACATTTACTTATTTTTTGTTGGACAATATATATTTATAAATTTATATATATGTTATATAAATTTATAAATATGTACATACCAGATGTTTGATCAAAGTAAACACTATACTGTAACTAAGACAAAATTTCATCAGCAAGGATATGCTCAGAGTTTTCTTTTAAAAACGTTTTTAGATGGCGATGTTGTAATGAGTGGTAGATGATTTTTATAAAAAGTTGGTGTTCGAATTACACCTATGCCCCCGGGAAGAGCATTTGGAAATATTTCAACATTTGAAGTTAAGGTTTTTTAGATGTATCGAAATCGTAAATGTAAAGTTTATATTGGGTGATTTTAAATTACAGGTAATGATAGACTTCTCAGTAAATTAAAAAACCGTATTATTCATTCTTTTATAAGTTTTTCTATCTAACTAATAAAAATCCTTTACTTCCTGGATCATTATATACCTAATCCAATAAATTGCTTTCGTTGAAAATTACTAGTTATGCTTTATGCCTCATACTATGCCATAAAGCGCGTTTTGACCACATTTTAAAACCAAATACATATTTGATACAATATTTATGCTTTACACCTTCGCAACGCAGCAGGACAGCGTAGTCTGACAGTGAAACTTTGTCTTAAAGTTGCATACATATTGCCTATACGTCATAGGCAATATGTATGCAAAGCTCTCTCTGGACAGAGGGTATTAAAGCTTGGTTACGCGAACCCCACTGCGGATTGGCAGACTTCACGTATTTCAAAAATATGCAAGCTTCCTCCTTGTCTTAACTGCTCAGTATTTAACCTGAACAAAATTTAAGGTTAAGAAGAAAGCATTGTTTCTACGACGTCAATTGTAAAGTGAGACACTCCGTCTTGTTGCGTCTTGTAATTTAGCCGGTTGTTATTTTACTGTGATATTATTACTGGGTTATTATAGTACTATGTATGGACCATATCCTAGCAGTCCGGGCTTTTAATTCAATACTAGCTGCTGCCCGCGACTACGTCTGCGTAGAATAGGCTGAAGGCGTAACATTCAGACAGAAAGACTGATATACACAAAATATGTATACAAATTATAGCCTATGTCTTATTCTGATGTATAAGGTATATTATTGTAAAGTTTCATTAAAATCCATTCAGTAGTATTTGCATGACAGAGTAACAAACATCCATCCATACATACAAACTTTCGCTTTATAATGTTAGTAAGTTTAAATCAGCAATTTCGACTACTGATTTTTCACGTGCTCAGCGATGAACGAGAACATTTTTTTTTTTAAAATTAAAACTAATATAATATAAATAATTTTAACCTGTGTTGTGAGGACGTTTTTACAAACATAAATTTTACGTGAACAAACACTCAGATGCGAAAAAACTATTTGTAGGTCACACAAATAGTTATACCGTGTGGAAATCGAACCCACGACCCCCAACGCCGATGCCTATACCTTGGCCACTGCGCCACGGAGTAATGAGGAAATCTCGATATTTTCGAAACGATAACAAAAAAAATATTCAGAATATATGTAATGGCGCATTTTACAAGGTAATTACGTTCGGCGCCGGAGGTCGTGGGTTCGATTCTCACTCGGGACAACTATTTGTGTATACACAGATAATTGTTTCGAACCTGGGTGTTTGTCCACGTGAAATTTATGTATGTAAATGTCCTTACAACACAATAAAAATTAATTAATTTATCATCCTAAAGTAACGGCAATGTTTTTTTAAAAAGTAAGATAAAAAAAAGAAAGATATGAAGTCTGCGAATCCGCAGTGGGAACGCGTGGTGAAGTATGCTCTAAAACCATCTTTAAAGAGGAGGCATTTGCTAACCTGTGGGACAAATACAGGGAGGTTTTTCTAAGTGTATCCATTTTTTTAAATTAAATTCTAGACATAAATAATGTTATATAAAAAAAGTTTGTTCTTATTCCAATAAACGATTATACTACCGAGCCTGAACCTCCTGTGTAAATTTGGGCATCTTTAAAAAAGCCTCCCTAGGTTGTTACTTTACTTTTATTTTATAAATACTTACGTATTGGCTATAAATGTTTAAGTGTGACATTATTTGCGCCGCCCTCCATCGCTCCGGCTTTGGCCTTGCCCGCTCTTTTGCTTTTAACGGTATCAATATGGCCGGCAATTACAATATGGTCGATCGAATTGGCGCGAAGCCGATTGCTTTCTGAATTCAAATCTCTATTCGGCTATCGGTAATTTTTTTAAGAATCGTAAAGACTATGTTCCGGTATAAATTTACGCTCCAATTTTTTAACTTGTATTTGTTTACTATCCATATTGAAATGAAACTATTTTTTACCCGCGACGGAAAAGGGACGGTATTTTAATTTAAATTTTAAATTTTATTTTTAAAAACATTGCCCTTACTTTAGGATAACATTATCCTGTGTTGTAGACACAAACAACAAAGAGATTACACATCGCGAGGAAACCTGCATATTTTCGGAATTATAATAAAAAAAAAGTTGTTTCGAAGGTATGTTAAGTCCGCCAATCCGCAGCGGGGGGCCGCGTGGTGGACTATGTCATACCCTCTGTACAGAGGATGCCTCTGCCCAGCGGTGGGACATTTGTATGCTGCAACTTTCCTACTCTCGTCTATAGGGTGGTGCTGGCCGCTTGCTCGGAGCTCCTAGGCGCCCTGCTGGGAGCGCACGAGGCCCACGGGGAGCCGGTGCTGGTGATAGACGGCGCCGAGCCCAGGCACCTGCGCGCCCTCCTCGACTACATGTACACGGGCGAGATGAGCGTCCACCACGTGAGTGTGCGGCGCCGGTGACGTCACGGACGGTGACGTCACGGCCGGTGACGTCACGGCCGGTGTAAAACTACTCACGCCCGGTATATATTAAACGAACGGCCGTCAGCTACGCAGCTTCGTAAGGAGCGCAAGTTACTCACATTCCGTAGTTAATGCAACGGCTCGTGAGGAAAACGCCTCGTTTTGTTACTATAGGAACCGGGCGTACACGCCTTTTATCTACAAGTCGTTATGAAAGTTACGAAGCTATTTAACTAACGGTCGTTCGTTGAATATAGGAACCGGGCATAAGACGTTTATCAGTTACCTAGCTACCTGTATTTACAAGCTTCGCACAGTTTGGGAATAGACATCGTCATACATATCACGTCTGCGCGGTTTTACACAACCCAATTGCCTCCGTATGAAGGGGCCTCTTGCCCAGTGGTGGGACGTCAATGTATGCTCATTATGCACCGTTCCCGCACAGTCCCAGCTGGCCAGCCTGCTGAAGACCGCCGAGGAACTCCGCATCAAGGGTCTGACGGATATACGGTGGAACAACAAGAACGAGCCGCCCGACTGCGAGACAGGTATGCTGTTGCGAGTACGCATGCTTCCCAGCATGCACAGGCATGCAGGCGCGCATGCGCATGTGTTAGCTATGAGTGAATTTAGTTTTGGAACGGCAATATAGAGACTCAGAGACTCGTTGGCGCAGCTGCTGAGCCACTGGCTGCAGCGGCGCAGGTCGCGGCTTCTATTTCCGCACGGGACAACTGTTTGTGTCAACCACGGATAGTTGTTCCGGATCTGGCTGTTTGTTCCTTAGGAGAGTTTTTTTTTTTCATATGTTAAAAACATTGCCCTTACTTTAGGATAACATTAACCTGCGTTGTAATGACATTTTTACAAACATAAATTTCACACGGACAAACACCCAGATGCGAAACAACTGTCTGTGGGTCACATTAGTTGTCCCGTGTGGGAATCGAACCCTCGACCCCAGACGCCGAAGCCGATATCTTGGCGACTGCGCCACGGAGTCATCTTCACAGCCATCAGGTTGACGTCAGGCAGGCAAAACCTAAGCGATAACATTAATAACACGATACATGTGTTGTGTACATATGTGGCATTATTGTACTGAAAGGAGCCTAAGATAAAACTATATCAAAATCGTCACATTATCATACAATACTCGCGTACAACTTCTGATGAATCGGTGACGCAGTTGCTAAGCTATTGGCTTCGCTACCGTAGTCGTGGGTTCGATTCCCACATAGGACAAGCGTTTATGTGACCCACAGATAATTGTTCCAGATCTGGATGACTGGATATATTATTCACGTCAGGCCGGCGGCCTGTCGTAAAATACCAATTTTTTTGTATGATAAAGTGGCAAACGACCGGGCAGTTCACCTGATGGTAAGTGATAACCGCCGCCCATGGAAATTTGCAAAACCCGTAGGGTTGCAAATGCTTTGTCACCTTTTAATAAAGTAGGCCAGGCCACCTCACTCACCAGACGAAACGCAGAAGTGTGACACTTCCACTTCACGCCGGTCTTCTGCGAGGTCGCGGTATTTACCCGGACGGACCTGCCTATTTCTGCAACAGCGATGACTGCTGCACGACCAATACCCGGGGCGGGGTAGTTTCTGATGTGGTATCGTTTCAAGGCGTTGTCACCGCCACGGCGACTAACCCGGAGGGGGCGGCGGGCGGAGACCAGCGGCCGGTCGAGACCAGACCCGCGGCGGAGACAGGGCGCGCGTCGGAGACCGGACCGGAGACCAGGGCCGACGCCGAGGGCAGGACGGAGGGTAGACAGAGCGAGAAGTTCAACATTAACGGTAGGTAACTTTGGTCGTGTGGTTAAAGTACACAATACAACAATTTAATCATAATTTACATAATATTACTTGACTAGCTGACCTGGCAAACGTTGTTTTGCCTTATAAATTATTTCTAGAGTAATCGGAATCGGGCCGCGTGTTGGACTATTTTATTAATTATTTTTATGTGAATAAGAGCCGTGATAGCTCAGTGTCCGGGCGCTCGCCTTTAGTTCAATATACTCGAGCAACCTGAGTTCGATCCCCGGTGTCGGCACCAATGAAGTTTTTAACTTCAAGTGCTGACTTATCACGTGCTCCGCGGTGAAGGAAAACATCGTGAGGAAGTCCTGCATACATTTTTTCGAAATAATAACAAAAAAAATATTTCGAAGATATGTGAAGTCCGCCAATCGGCAGTGGGGCCGCGTGGTGGACTATCCCCTGATACCCTCTGTACAGAGGAGGCCTTTGCCCAGCAGTGGGACATTTCTAGGCTGTTACTTATTGAAAAAGTGGCAAACGAGCTGGCGGTTCACCTGATGTTAAGTGATAAAAGCCGCCCATGGACATTAGCAATCCCCGTAGGGTTTTAGTAAAGTGGGCCCTGGCTACCTCACTCACCAGACGAAACGCAGAAGTGTAACACTTCTACTTTACGCCGGTCTTCTGTGAGGTCGTGGTACTATCCCGGACGGACGTGCCCATTCGTGCAACAGACGAAACTGTCGCTTGGCCCTACCACAGATAAGAGTTATTTTTTTAGTTCACACAAAATCGGCAGCTCTTTGTTACATTGTACGTACTTCTTATGTTATGATATTAAATTATCCAAAAATGGATTTACATTATTTAAGTAGTATTTTGTGGGTTCCTTATAGTACTACAATATTCAAAGGTGATTCTAACATATGAAAAGCAAAGTAATATGCCCTAATGGCCTCTCTACAGAGGAGGCCTTTGCCCAGCAGTGGGACATATATATGCTGTTGCTTTATCACTCATAATCTATATATCTTATATATAAAAATGGATTGCTGTCCGTTAGTCTCGCTAAAACTCGGGAACGGCTGGACCGATTTGGCTAATTTTGGTTTTGAAATATGTGTGGCAGTCCAGGGAAGGTTTAAACGTTGAGAAATTATGGAAAAATTGCATGGAAAACCGAAATAGCAACGATTTTATTTTCCCATACAAATAGTACCTGTCAACCTGTCAACTATATCTATGTAACCTGTCAAAAACTATATGCGTGCGTTCCCATTCCTCTAGAAATAATTTATACGACAAAGCAACGTTTGCCGAGTCAACTAGTATGCAATAGAAATAACGTAGATAGATGTCAAGATTTTCGTCTTTCTTTCTGTAAATATTAAAATTTTTAAATCAAGGAACCCAGCAATGGAATAAAAAAAATATCTATGTTAGTTTTAAGCTATTGCATAGCTTTTATCGCGGGCTTTGAGCGCGGCGACCGCATAAAGAAATTCCGTAACAAAAATAAAACCTAACACCCCCCACTCCGCCTGCCATGTAGCTCGGCCGAGCGCAGGGTAGGATTTTGTACTATTATTAAAGTATTTGTACTGTAATTTCATACTTCGTACTATATACTATCCTTATCTAAGGATAGTACGGAAATGTACTATAATTTCGATAATTTACTTATATAAATAAATGCAAATCCAACATTGAAAAGGGTTTATTGGGTTGTAATAACGTGGTAATGTTTTAAACAACACAAAGTGGATATAACTACGCGTCTGTCAATTATTGCCACGGATTATAAATAAATACTATTTACGGGACTTACCGTTTTTTTTGTAGGTATACTTAGCTTGTTGGATAGTAACTTTGCATATTGCACTACGAGATAGTTTATAGAGTTCATTGATGTCTAATAGTAGGATTAATTTATTATTTCCTAAACTAAGATAATAAATAAACATTATCCATAGACGCCATTTCATCGTGTTGGGACCTAATCAAAGGTGGGAAAAAAAACTTGGTAGTTAAATTATAAAGTGTTCTATAATTTCTGGTCAAACGCTATCGTTTTAATTTTTTTTGTACCATATTTTTTACCGCGCCCAAATCCAACCCTGCTCGGCGGAGCGTTCGGACGTGTATGTACATAGTACGAAGCTCGCACGGATCTGGACGAGCTGCTCCGAAATTGTACAACAGTGAATATTCGTTGCCGGTGAATATTGGTGATTTGCGCGTAATATTTGTTTGTAAAGTGTTTTAGACATGAATAAACAAAGTGGATTTATTGATGAAGAAAGTGATGAAAAAATAGTGAAAGAAAATGAGTGAGTACTCTATATACATACATTTTATTATTATAACAAATGTAGTTTTTTTTTTTCAAATTTATAGACGGTGTGTCGTTACAACCGCGACAATAAATGAATACACATATAGAGGATAACTTTTTTTAAATTGTATTATGCATTAACATTCTTTAAACATCAATATTTACCGTGTTATTAAATTTTACAAAACAAACTGAATTTTTTTGAACACCCTTACGTATAAAACTGTGACGTAGAGGTCACAAAGCACATGAATTGGTTGAATGAATTTAAAAGAGATAAAACATACTGTTAGAAGGAGAGACATGTAATGCGACGTTTTGGTAAGGAATGAAAAGTCTCGTAATGTATGAATCTGTTAGTTGTAGTTGTATAGGATGTTACAAATTTTGTTTCTTTTTTATTTAATTAGTTTGTTTGAAAAATATATTTTTTTAATCATGCATTTTTTTAACGTTTTATATTTTTTATGATTATTCGCAAGTAGCGTTAGACGTGTGTTCATTTATTATCGCACGCTGTGTAATACTGCTATAAAAATAACCTAAATTTTTTGATATTAAAATGAGCGATCTTAAAAGTAGCCCTCTTTTATACACACAAACACACACACATTGAGAGTTTAAATTCTCAATATATATGTATATACAGGGTGGCTTTTCTAAGTGTATCCATTTTTTTTATTAGATTCCAGACATGAATAATGTTATATAAAAATGATAAATTAATTAAAATCACTCGTAAGTAATTAATTACATTCATTTGAACTTATCTCAAAAAGTGCGTGATTTATACGCAACTCATTTGTTTTACGCCCAATCATTCATAACTAACACGCACACAAGTTCGTGCACAGTAAAATTTAGATATTTATGAATAACCACCGCATTTTCAAAACGTTCTGTTTTTTAGGGAATGGAATGGCATTTTTTTGGAAAAAAGCTTTGTTTTTTATTTCAATAAACGATTATAATACCGAGTCTGAACCTCCTGTGTAAATTTGGGCACTTCTCAAAAAATCACCCTGTATATATTCATTCTTCATTATGCATATAATAGAAATCATTAAACCAAGCGCGTGTTCTATTTAGTACCTAGGTAATACACATCAATGCCGCGCAGAGAAAGTATATATGATATTATATCTATATAAATGTACATCGCGCGAAATTCGATGATCAAACTCTTAACATAGTCTTAGTATCGAGTAGTCTCTTACTTCCTTGTTACCTAATTTAAATAATTTTTAATTGTGTATAACTACTAAGTATATTACTTTTCTTTTTATTGTTTAACGCTTCTCTTCCGAACACATAATTCTGTACCAAATTCTCTAATGTGAAAACTTTTAATTGGCCATCAATTTTGTTAAATTTGATCAAACAATGACTGTTCTAGCTGTAAGTTTTCCAAAGATATCTAAAATAAAAATAAAATATCAAATTTCTTGAATGAATAATTTTTTTGGTGTGTAATTACACTATTTATAATTAATTATTTATACCTAGCTATTTTCGTTTTATAGAGAAGAAAAACTTAAAGAGCTAAAAAGAAAAAGAAATCGTGAACGTCAAAGGGCATATTATCACCGTCAGAAAGATTTGAAGAAAAATGAAAAAAAAATAAAAAAAGCAAGAAAAAAAAAAGAAACAGCGCCAAAATCAAATGCTGAACGTCAGAGGAAATTTCGTCAACGCAGAAAAATCTTACGTGCAACGCGCAACGCAGTCATTGCAGAAAAATCTTACGTGAATATGTAATTTGATTTAATAATATTCAAAAACAAATTGTCATATACGCCTCAATATTATTTAACTTTACGATTACCTCATTTTTTCCACAGGAGAAGACAAAAATTGGACATTAACGAAGAGAATGTAGTGCAATGTAGGGCTGTTGAAAATATAGAAAATGTAACGCTTCAAGAAAATCAATTTCACAGCCAACAACTTAAAATTTATGAACAGAATTGTGAATGCGTCACTCCCGAAGTTATTCCACACAGGAACACAGGAATTCCTGGCGATGGTAATGGTCTATTCCGCTCGCACATAAGTGTTTTGCAACTTCAAGTCGAGACTTGTGACTTGAGAAATTAGTTACGCGATTCACCCTATTTGAACTCGGCAAGATGCATATAACATTCTATCAAGCACTAATGAATGGAGATTTGGATTGTTTGTAGTTATTTCCAAGAGTGTACAACCAAAATGTTTGTGTACATTATTGTTTTCACAGCATAACTACAAAGAATCAAGACACTATCATTTGTTATTTTAAAGCGAATGATACACAAAACTGGATTCATCTTCATCTTCGTGAACAACACGACACGACATCATCCATACTTAATATAAATGCGAAAGTAACTCTGTCTGTCTGTCTCGCTTTCACTGCAAAACTACTAAACCGATTTAAATGATAGTCTAGAGCCTGAGAAAGGACATAGGCTATTTTTTAATTGAAAAAAGTGTTTTAAAGGGTTGAAAGATATTTATTTAAGGGCTTCAACGCGAGCGAAGCCGCGGGCGATAAGCTATATAGATATATAATCGTATATCACGACGAAAAACGATAATTATACAGTCAAGTTTTATCATAATCGAAGGAAAGCTGCATCGGCTGCATCTTTGTTGCCAGAATTCAAAAGGCTGTCTTTAAATAGTGTTCAGACGACAGCTCAAAGTGTCTTAGATTTCATCTCTTTATCTTCTTATATATAAAAATGGATTGCTGTCCGTTAGTCTCGCTAAAACTCGGGAACGGCTGGACCGATTTGGCTAATTTTGGTTTTGAAATATTTTTGGCAGTCCGGGGAAGGTTTAAACGGTGAGAAATTATGGAAAAATTGCATGGAAAAGCGAAATAGCAACAATTCTATTTTCCCATACAAACTGTACCATACAACCTGTCAACTGTGTCCGTGTAACCTGTCAAACACTATGCGTGCGTTCCGAAATTCTCTTTCTGTGTTCAGATTGACAAATTCCCTAGAAATAAATCATATGGCAAAACAACTGATGTTTGCTGAGTCAGCTAGTTAGTAATAGAAATGGCATTTCAAAAATGACTTTCAATTGTCAAAGTCGTGACAAAAAATTCGTTACTTCTTACCGAAACTTGCATGGCGCATGATAATCCGATTGAAATACATAATTTCAATTGCATTCTTCAATTCAAACGAGATACTGTTCCAAAAGGTGGGGCATAAGAACAAGAAAATAATAATAATATTACTAATATTGTTAGTATTTTCGTTAATATAATAACAATATATGTCTATATATTTATTTTTTATCTATAAACCCAAGCAGACGAGAAAACAAATGAACATCCCCCAATATTACTAATATTATGACTCCGAATATTGAAATAAATATTGCACACGTTAGCGATGGTAATTTTAGCCGCTCATTTGTTGGAGATATTTGTGCGTACTTATGCAAACTTAGAAATGGCCTAAACACATTCATGGTAGCAATTTACATTTCTCCGAATCCGAAATTGGACAAGGTAGAGAATTTTATTCATCTCACTTCACTGGAGTACACTGAAGAAGGGTCGAAAATACTTGGTAAATTTTCCACCTATCTTGGCTGGCGATTTCAACATCAACTTCGCTGATAAAAAAATCAGAGCGGTTGACAACTTTTCTTTCGGAAAAATTTAATTTGAAAATGAAAAATCCACAAGAATCCACAACAAAATATCGGATCACCATTGACGCGGTATTTTCCAGATATTTAGAAGATATCAAGGCTCAAACTTATGTTTCTTATTTCAGTTACCATAAAGCTATAGTTTCAATGATAAATCCTGAATAACCTACATGTATTGTAAGATAATAAAAATATTTTAAACGATGTTAACTTCTCATTTGTTCAATAAAAGAAAAAAAATTGTTTTCTTATCGGTTACCACGCTCAAACGGTGTTACTTGAATTAATATCAAAGTAAAAAAAATACTCGATAAATAAAAAAATAAATAAACATTTATAATGGCATAAGTTGATAAAAAAAATGCTATGCAATAATTTTAACCGCGGCAGTCCCCGAGAGTAACGGGTTTTTTTTTAATTCTATTAATTTTCAACCCATCCTTGCAGCCCGCAAGGTTAAGTTAAACATGGGACCTTAAAACTACGACCTTATGCTTAATAAAATAAAAATTAATTTCCAGGAGGTCCCCCGCCCCTGATAAAACTACCCTTGAAGGAGAAAAGCAGTCCAGTCAAGAGGGAATTTTCCGACAAGTGAGTATAGTTCTTGCTATTGAGCATTCTGTAACGTTATAAATGTTTACGGACGGTGCCGTCTCTGTCCAGCCACAATGTTTTCACCTTCCGTCTCGCTCCCACCTCACGTTGGTCTACAGTTGCGTGCAACGTTACATTCGCCTTTCTACATCAGACGTTTGCTTAAAACGATGATTCTATCTTTGCACTTGACCGTACTCGTGCCTAATCAACGGTCTCGCTCGCGCCCTTATATTAGTATCTTTCCGTCCCTCTCCCACCACACGTTGTTGTACAGTTGCGTGCAACGTTACATTCGGTTTTCTATATCAGACGTTTGCTTTAAACGATGAGTCGATCTTTGCACTCGACCATACTCGCGCCTAATCAGCCGACTCGCTCGTTGTTAGTCGCCTACCGTCCTGCTCCCACGGCACGTCGCCGTACAGTTGCGTGCAAATTTACATTCGGTATATTCGGGTATATCAGACGTTTGTTTTAAACGATGAGTCGATTTTTCCACTCGACTGTACTCACGTGTAATCGGCCGTCTAGCTCGCGCCTCGGTCTCAGTCGCGTTTTCATCCCGTCTCTTCCCACCACACGTTGGTTGTACAGTTGTCTGCAACGTTACATTCGGTTTTCTATATCAGACGTTTGTTTTAAACGATGAGTCGATTTTTCCACTCGACTGTACTCACGTGTAATCGGCCGTCTAGCTCGCGCGTTGTCTCAGTCGCGTTCCATCCCGCTCTTACCACACGTTGGTTGTACAGTTGTCTGCAACGTTACATTCGGTTTTCTATATCAGACGTTTGTTTTAAACGATGAGTCGATTTTTCCACTCGACTGTACTCACGTGTAATCGGCCGTCTAGCTCGCGCCTCGGTCTCAGTCGCGTTCCATCCCGCTCTTACCACACGTTGGTTGTACAGTTGTCTGCAACGTTACATTCGGTTTTCTATATCAGACAGTTTCTTTAAACGATGACTCCATTTTTGTACTCGCCTATACTCCTCGTCCAATCAACTGACTCGCTCGGTGTTAGTCGCCTTCCTTCCTGCTCCCATGGCACATCGCCGTACAGTTGCGTGCTGTATTCGGTTATCTATATCAGTTGCTTTCAACGAACATTAGATTTTTGCACTCGCCCGTACACGCACCACATCAGCCGTCTCGTTCCCGCCGCAGTCTCATTCGCTTTCCGTCCCGCTCCGATCTAGTCGGCGTACAGTTGCGTTCAACGGTTCATTGGCGGTTGTATTAAGGGTCCACTGTTCAAGCTACGATTATATTTTGTTCCAGCGACAGTCCCAGTCCTAAGAGGCAGCGGCTCGCTAGCGGTGCCGAGCATTCCGAAGACGAACTTCGTACACCGAAGACGTACGATTCCTTTAATAATAACAATAATACACACCCTACCAACAATACCTCCTAGCACAAAATTACACACACAAACACTGCACTTACTTGGCTTGCGTCCGGAAATGTAATTCAGTTACCCTGAGAATAAGTTAAACTTGTTGACAAATAAATAATACATAAAAATTCATTTATTTCTAAACTGTTTGCTGTATGCGTTTGCTGCCGAGTTTTTCCACTAAGTTATCATAGACATTTGTAATGGGAATATGGATGGTGATAATAATAATTATTAAGGTTTATTTAAACTAAAAGTAGCGTACAAAAAATATGTCATTTTACAACACACAAGTTCTTTATTTATCACCGCCTTTATCATCATAATCATCTTCATTGTCATTATCGTTAACAGATTCTTATTTAGATCACGAATTCTTCATTTGACCGTGAAATTCAAAATGTCACGTGTAATGATTTCTTAATACAGCGTGTTTTTACCACCGCGACAAGAAATGAACACACGTCTAACGCTACTTCCCAATAATCATAAAAAAATATTAACGTTAAAAAAATCCATAATCAAAAAAATATTATTCAAACAAACTAATTAAGTAAAAAAGAAACAAAATTTGTAACATCCTATACAACTACAACTGACTGATTCATTCATTCGTTGCCACGGCGTCGCATTACAAGCCTCTCCTTCTAACAGTATGTTTCGTCTCTTTTAAGTTCATTGCATTTCACCCATTCATATGCTTTGTGACCTTTACAAATGAACTTTACGTTACAGTTTTATACGTAAGGGTGTTCTAAAATTGTTTGTTTTGGAAAATTGTATAACTCGGTAAATATTGATGTTTAAAGAATGTAAATGTTTAATACAATTTTAAACAGTTACCCTATATATGTGTGTTATTATTTATTGTCGGTTGTAAGGACACGCTGTATAGTCATCACTAGTCATGAAATCAGTGGGGTAGGTACTATAATTTTTTTTTAAATTACTTTTCAGCGAGCACGAATGGCAGCATGGAAATATGGTGAGTATTACAATCGCTTCGTTTCTTGTTAAGTAATAAGCTGTCGACAGTTTTTGTTAAGATGCAGTATCGTTCATTTAACTTAACGTTTTTTTAACTTTCTTTATAATAAAATGTCGGTAAATTAACACGTGCTTTCAGAAAGTTGACACATTTTAAAAAAAAATCTCGGAAAAAAAAGATTTTAGAAACAATTACTCTTTGGGATAATCTCAAGGACATTCTTGCGGTAAACAAATTTAATATATTGAACAAGTGACAGGTATCGCAAATATATATAATAATAACAATCGCAGAGTTTTAATCGATATTTTAATTATAATGATATATCTAGTTTTCGAATGATTCTATTCAAACGGGGGGACTAAAACACTAAGCAGTGGGGTTGACTGCTACTTTCTTGTCTGCCACCTAATTGGCAATAATGGCACTTATTGGCAAATAGTACATAATAGAAAAATCGGGGAGACTAAAACACTGAGCAGCGAGGCTGCCTGTGTCGCCTGCCTTTCTCCCTCTTAACTGAGAGTTTCGGCGACACTATTGAGCCTTACGTGACTTATGAGCGGGACATTTGAGAACAATCCGGAGCACTAACACACTTGGCATTAGGGCCGTAAGGGAACAACCGGGGGCGGGACTAACAACCTAAGCGGCGGGGCTGACTGTCGCTTTCCTGTCTACCACCATAGCGGCACTTGCGGCACTAATGGCACTAACGGCACTCGCGAGCAGGACATAACGGCGGAGCGCGTGGTGGGGTGGGGCGCGGGCGAGGTGCCGCCCGGCGAGTGGTCGCGCGACGCGTCCGACGACGAGTGGGCGGACGCGCCGGCAGACATCGGCTCCTTCCTCAGCACGAGGCTGCGCGTCGACGGCGACAACAGCGCAGGTGCGTCTCCCACTCGGCTGCTCTGTGGCGCGAGCTTCATTACACTGTGGCGGAAGGTGGGCGCAGGTACGCCCCACTCGGATGCAAGGATGCTCTGTGTCGCACAGCTCATTAATCTGTGACGGAGGGTGAGCGCAGATACGTTCCACTCGGGTGCAGGGCTGCTCTGTGGCACAAGCATCATTACTCTGTGGTGAAAGGTGAGCGCAGTTACGTCCTTACGCGTGCAGGGTTGCTCTGTGTCGCTAAACTCATTACACTGTGGCGGAAGATGAGCGATATGTCCCACTCGTGTGCACACAGCTGTTCTGTTTGCGCAAGGGTCATTAATCTGTGGCGGAAGATGAATGCAGGTACTTACCACTCGGGTGTAAGGCTGCTCTGTGTCGCAAAGCTCATTAAACTGTGGTGGAAGGTGAGCCCAAGTACTTACCACTCGGATGCAGGACTGCTCTGTGTCGCGAAGGTCGTTACAATGTGGCGGAAGTTGAGCGTAGGTACGTCCCAATCGCGAGCAGGGCTACTCTGTGGCGTAAAGCTCAATACACTGTGGTGTATTGAGCTTTGCGCTCAATATACAGTGATTGCGATGTGAAAATATTATTTATAATATCTGAGTTTGCGATATTGACGACACGATGACGTAGTGGATAGTGAACCTGTCCTTTCCGCCAGGGGGTGTCGGTTCCATCCCCAAATCCTATTAAAAAATGATTAAACATGTTTATCAGTCGTCTCGTTACAAGCTTTGCTTAGTTTGGGACTGAGGTGAGTTTAGTTTACACGAACGTATGGAAGCTAAACATTTATATAGAAAGATGATTAATGGATGTGGTCTCACCAGATGAGGAGTCCGACGGCAGCACGGCCCACACCGCCGGTTCAGGGTCCACGGTGACCAACCAGCCGTCGGGTCCAGCGCACACGGAACCCTACACGCTGATACGTGAGCAAGGTTCCGTTCCGACCACAAACCTCACCCGCATTCCAGGGGCCTTAAAGCAACAGCCTGTATACATCACTGTTGCATAAAGCCTCCTACGTGCAACCCCCCGCGGATTGGCGGACTTCATTTATTGGATAACATATATTGGACTTCATATATTGTACTACATATATAGGAAATGTCTTTTTGTTATTTAAAAAATAGTTTCGTTCACCGAGGAAGTGTTATGTCAGTACTTAAAGTCAACAATCACATTGGTGCCGGCACCGGGATTTGAACTCGGGTCGCTCGAGTATATTGATTTGAAAGCGAACGCCCCGACACTGAGCTGTCACGGCTCTGTAAATTGGAGGGATCTACATTTCGCGTTTATCGATTGGACCGTCTACACGAAGAGGTTCCGTACTATTATCAATGAAAACTGCAAAAGAAGTCATGTCTGTTGTATGAGAGCCCCACTAAATATTTTAATAAAATGGTCCCCGGCTACCTCGCTTACCGGACGCAAACGCAAACTCTACACTTCTACTTCGCGCCGGTCTTCCGCGAGGTGCGGAAGATTTCCCATTTGTGCAACAGTGCTGTTGCGTGGCCCTAGCACATTTAAAACTTCTTCTTTACTTCTTCTTCTCGCTTGCAGCGAACACGTCAGGCTCGAAGGGCCAGGTGGACCCGCGCTTCACGGACGTGGTGAAGCTGAACGACTACCTGCAGCACGGGAGGCGGCCCCAGTTCTGGGAGGAGAACTACGTCAAGCGGGTGAGCACCCGCACCCGCGTACATACGTGTACAGTCGCGAACACACGCGTACAGTCACCTTCAGTCGTGATCGTACGCAAAAAATTACGCTCGTAAACTGTCAGGTACAGATGCGACTAGCAGGTGAGCGGTGCACTCACGTACACACGTGTACAGTCGCGAACACGCGCACATATTACATTCACGCAGAGCCGTGTACAGACGCCCACAGCCACTTACTGTACCGTACACATGCTTGCAGTTATGCGCACATATGCGCACAGTCTCGTACAAATAGATGTGTATAGTCACAAATACTCGCGTACAGTCATGTAAAGTAGCGAACATACACATGACCTTATGTACCTTCAGTCGTGTTAATTCGTGCACATACGTTTACACGTGCGTACAGTCGTGCGAACACACGCGTATCACCAGTCACCTTCAGTCGCGTATATACGCAAAAGCTTATATATTCTGTTAAAAAGTCGGGTACAGATGCGTACAATCACGTCACGTAAGATTGCGTTCACTCGCATACATATTCACAATCTCACGTACGCTTGCGTACAGTCGCGTATAACGTTAACTCGCTTACGCACGGGCGCGCGCGCTTAATGTTTTTTATAGTGCTAATCTCTACACTTAAGATTGAACATTTAAAACATGTAGAAAAAGTGCGAAAAGATCGTCGCCGCTGTGGGAATCGAACCCACGTCTTCGGCATTCGCGGCCTGTCGCTCTAGCCACTGAGCTAAACGGCTGATAGCCACAGCGATGATGATTTGCTTGATTTTGATGCATATCGAACATGGATTTTTGGAAAGAGACAATCGGCACATCGGTCTCGTAGAACGTTATCTCTCTCGCACGAAGCAGTAACAGTTGCGACACACTGACAATCGCCACTCGGTCGATGTTCGGTGACGTACACACCGCCACGGCGAACGGTTCAGAAGTCACACTGGCCCCAATCCTCAGGTGATGGAGGCGGTCCGCCTCAAGGAGCTGGAGATGAAGCAGGCCGCCGAGATCCTGGGCGTGAGCTACGGCACCCTCTACGGCCGCTACAGGGACGTCTACGGCTGCATCAACAGGCCATACCGGTATACACCACAGGCATTACAGCCCGCGGCCCGACGGGCGCCCGGCGGCGGCGGCTCCCCGGCCGGAAGTGGCACTTCTCGACTCGGAAGGTGCGCTTCTAAACTCGGAAGGTGCGCTTCTGAACCCGGGATGGTGCACTTCCGAACTCGAACGGTGCACTTCTAAACTCATACGGGGCGCATCTCTACTCGGAAGTGGCACTTCTCGGCTCCGAATTTGCGCTTCTCCATTTGGAAGTGACCACTTCTTCGCCCGAAGTTATGCTTTTTTACTTAACTGACTTTCTCGCTCGCGGCTGTGCTTTAATCGGGGATTGCGATTTACCGTCTCCGAAGTTTCACTGTTCGCCACGAAAGTTATACTTCCTCGTCGTGATCGATTTGCAACTGGACGAGGAACTTTTAAAGGTCAAAAATGTCCAATGACCGTGTAAGGTACTTCACCCCTTGGGTTCACGATTAAGTCTCGTTGTCGACCGAAGTCGGCTCCGCTCGGCTTCCCGTCAAGTCGGTCGCCTCTGGTGAGGTCTGTTGCAGCTGTTGCTAGAAGGTCTGTTGCATGTGTTGCAGCACCGCGCGGGACTTCTGGCAGGCTAAGGGCCCCTCGGAGGTGCTGGAGAGGCTGCAGAGGGGCGACATCTCGCTGGAAGCGGCCTCCATAGCGCTCGGCGTCAGCTCCTCGAACCTGGCCGCCTACGTGGCAGACCTCGCCGACAAGGGTTCGACCGGTTCCACCTGCCACTGCCACCGCCATTAACTCGATGTGACCACCAGTTAGGGTTGCTACCCATAATGAAAAATATAGTATCGTACTATTTTTTAGCCAATTGTACTGCATATTATAGAAATATAGTATAGTACGAATATTTTCGTTGTTGTATAAATTCAATTAAAAATGAATGGTTAATATATATTATTATGGATCTAACTTGTTCCTATTTCTATGATTATTCTTACAAAAAAGGTGGCAGCCCTAACACGAACCCTTAACTCACACAGTACAATACGAGAGCATAGTGACCCTATCCTCCTCAACAAAGACTAAGATAGAAGTGCGAAGAATTGGACTATGGTAACAACTTTCCTTTTTTGCCCTTGATCCGTTCCTCCGTTATTCCTGCTACGCCCTATAATTTCCGGCGATAAGGTGCTTATATACCTTCCATATGTCTCGTTTGATATGTCAACTTTTCTCTTCTTCCCTTACCATTCACTATTATACAGGGCCGGCGATGAGAATGTCACTTATTGTCACATGTTGGCATTTCCTCTTCAGCCATGAGTCTTTGCTAGAGAACTTTGAGATTCTATATGACACAGAGTCAGCGGATCTGACACTCAATTACTGTTCTGCGCCATCCTACTAAATCTCCCGTCCGTTGTCCTAGACTTACTTACAGGAAGTACTTCACCACTTAGTACTTTGAAAGGTGGCATGCGAGCTGGCGGTTCACCTGATGTTAAGTGATAACCGTCGCCTGTAGACATTTGCAACACGTACGGTTGTAGACGCGATGCCACCTATTAATAAAGTGGGCCCCGGCTACTCACCAGATGAACGAAGTGTAAAACTTCCGCTTCAGTGTAACACTTCCGCCTCACACCGGTCTTCTTTGAGGTCGCGGTACATTCGTGCCACAGCCGAAGCTATTGCATTGCATGGCCCTACCACCACGGTGAAATCCCAGTCTCCATCCCACACACGGTAGTTGTAAAATGGTCTACAGCAATGTTTTGTTTAAATTTTCAGAGTTCGAGCCGATACCGATCGAGGTGGACCCCTCGCTGAAGATGAGGCCGAGCGGCTACAGCGGGGCGGCGGCGGCGCCGAAGCCGGCAAGGAAACCCTTGCCGCAGCCCCACGACAAGGTACTCTGCGATATTTGGGGATCCTAGGGGGCACCAGAAGTTGTATGGGGTCGCCGGGGGGTTGCAAATATTGTCGAGGGAAGTAGACCGGGGGCCGCAGAAATTGTAAGGGGTCACGGGGGGACGGTGGGTGCGAAAAATATCAGGGGTAATCGAACCGTGGGGCACTAGAAGATGTAAGGGGTCACCGGGGGTTAGAAATAGTGTCAAGGGAAATAGACCGGGGGCATCAGAAGTTGTATGGGGTCACGGAGGGGGCGGTGGTTGCGAAAAATATCAGGGATAATAGAACCGGAGTGCACCGGAACATGTAAGGGGACAACGGGGGTTAGAAATATTGTCAAGGGAAATAGACCGGGGGGCGACATCGCCCCATTGTGAGGGGTCATCGGGGAGTTGATATTGGACCGGTCATCAGAAGTTATGAAATTGAAATATGAAAAATAATAGACTGCAGGCACCAGAAGTTGTAAGAAGTCACGTATATCAGGGTAACCGGGGAAAGATATCGGTGGGAATAGAATGTATCAAAGGTTGTTAAATTAATTTTTATTTATTTTTAATAGACTGTGCACCAGAACTTATAGGACGTTGGAGTTAATATGATATCAGCCGAAAGATCCTGTATCTTTCGGCTCCTAGGACGAAACAGCGAAAACGAAATCTTATCTAGCTTTTACTGTCGCTCTTGTGTAGGTATATATAGTAATATATAAGTGCTTCAAGTTTTGCAATTAACTTGTTTATATGTGATGTATTATTATTGACTCAGTTTCCAGCACTTTGTTTACTTTACCAAACTCATCAATCTTATATCATAGTTATTTCGATAGAAGAAAGAAATACTGTTCATTTGACATCACTCAAATTAAAAATATTAAAACTAAATATACGGGATAACAACTATTGCGACGTCAAACTGGAGCTCCATTTCAGAAAATTGACTAAAGTTGAATTCACGGACGAAAATACAATAATTATTATCACTACATAGTATAAAACAAAGTCGTCCCGCTGTCTGTCTGTCCCTATGTATGCTTAGATCTTTAAAACTACGCATAGGAACCTGATGCGGTTTTTTTTACTAGATAGAATGATTCAAGAGGAAGTTTTATATGTATAACACATTGCACCCGTGCGAAGCCGGGGCGGGTCGCTAGTTGTTGGCAAACGTTTTCTTTTAAGTATGTGTAAGACGTATGACACATTGAAACAATACAAACATTAATTGCAGACAAAAAAGATCATGGTCGGCAGCCTTAATGACGAGGATCCGACACCGGCCACTGTGATCTCAACGCACGATACCAAAAACCCGTACAGCGGCACACAATCACCGGCCTCCAGTGAGTAGCTTTATTAATTTCATCGAATCCCCCGCGTCGGGGGTCGCGGGTTCGATTCCCACACGGGGACAACTATTTGTGTGACCCACGGATAGTTTTTTTTTTTTTTTTTTTATTTCTTTATGTTTAATGGACTTTTACGTAATATGCATGTCAGTCCCATCGTGCCCTCCTCTTATGTTATACAACTTTGTCTTATTACTAATACTTATTTTAAAGTTTTAGCCATAAACTCATACAGTAGATTTGCATTTTCAATATTTGGATGGCATAACAAAGAATGAAAAAGGCCAACATTGTATTTGCTTAAATTCATGTCTCTTAACAAGTTATTCCTATTGGGACCCACGGATAGTTGTTTCCCATGTGGCCGTTTGTCCGCGTCCAATTTATGCTTGTGACCTTAACTTTACATTAGGCGTCCTTACATCACTGGATAACATTATCTCGAAGTAATGGAAATGTTAAATAGAAACTAGTAAAAATAAAAAGTGTGTGTGTATTTATGTCCACGCGTTAGAAGTTATACTTCTTTGGCGTAACAGGATAGAAATCTTTTCAAAAATTTTATCTTTCGCCTCATTCTACGTTTGTAGAAAAAACACTAACAATAGAAAAAAGATATTTAATACATTGAAAGTTTTATTATAACGCATTATCTAGTTAAATAAAGTTTATTTAAATATCACAAAATAAATGTCGTGAACACAGATGTCAGTTCTCACGCAAACATACGTAGGTGTCTAGCTAACTTCAGTGTGTCGGTTTTTCGTGACGGTGTGCGCATCGTAAAAGTTTACTCTCATCATTTTTCCCTAACGCATCAGAAGAAGTATAACTTAAAAATGTTAAAGCAACACCTTTCCAGAACAGTTTCGTGATGGTATATTTCCAAAACGATCAAATCGACACACGCAATAACGGTACGGGAATGAAATGAAACATTTTTATTTACAAAAAAAGAAAAAACTTTTCTACGAATTTTAATTTGTAATATTAAAATTTGCTTGCACTAAAATAATAATAATATACCCCCGAAGAGAGAACCTCATACTATTTGAAATCGATTGAAAAATGACTGAACAAAGACACGCTTCAAGATAGATTTAGATAATAATAATAATAATACTAATAAATATTTGGGACACATTCGTACACAACATTTTCTAGTCCCGAACTAAGCAAAGCTTGTACTATGGGTACTAGAAAACTGTTAAACATACTTAAACATACTTTTCTTTTTGTAAATAAATACATATTATACATATAGAAACACCCAGACACTAGAAAAACACCATGTTCATCACACAATATTTTTCCAGTAGTGGGGATCGAACCCACACCCTTTGGCGCAGGAGGCAGGTACACTACCCACTACGCCATTCGGGTCGTCAAATAGATAATCTCATACAGTTTTCATTTCGTAAAAAAAATTGTACGTAGTGTAGGTAGTCTGGTAGTCTGCAGAGTAGTCGACTAGATATGTGACGACCTGTGCAATTGTGCGGGATGTCGGTGGACGCAGGTGGCTCCAGGATCGTTGCTGGCTGAAAATGATGATGATGACGAAATTAATTGTACCCTTTACAAGGTTTAAAAGTAAGTAAAGTGACAGCCGGTACATGTCCCACTGCTGGGCAAAGGCCTCTGTACAGAGGGTATCAGGGCATAGTCCACCACGCACGAAATATTTCTTTCTTGTTAAAATTTCGATAATATGCCAGGTTTTCCCACGATGTTTTTTTTTTCACCGCTGAGCACTTGATAAGTCACACTTAAAATTGACACTTTCATTGGCGCCAGCACCCGGGATCGAACTCGGATCGTTCGAGTATATTGAATTAAAAGCGAGTACCCCGGAGACAATGTGCTATCACGGCTCGGTTGACAAGATTTAAGATCAATCATATTATATTGTTAGAAATAGAAACGATAAGTGATTTTTTAAAATGGAACTTATTGGCCAGTATAATTCTAAGTAACCGACACAATTGTTATTAATTCGGGTAGTGCTTCAGCACGCCACAACGACTGACGAAAAACGATTAGCGCTGCTCGTTTTATAGCCCGTTGCAGTGTTGCCATTTTTACAATATTATGGATTTAATATTGATTACCTTACAGGCGGGAAGTGGCCCTCGATCCGCGTCGCCTCGTTGGAGTCCCTGCGCGAGGCGTCCGGCCCCTCGGGCGCGCCCCCCTCGCCCTCCGCCCTCATGCGCACTCGCCCCGACCTCACCATCGTGGCCGCGAAGCGCGACCGCCGCGAGGAGGACGTATGATCAGGCCCAACACGCCCCACCCCCACACCCATAACCCCCACCCCCACCCCCACCCCCGTCCCCACCCCGCCTACACCCCACCCTTCGTTAACAATCACCGAAGTTCCTTCCGCCCGACTGCGCATGCCTCCACCCACACTCCCTACACCGTCCGCTGTGCCCCCTTCCGTCACAGTAACAAGGCTTCCGCTAACGCGACCGCCTATGCCGTCGACCACACTCCCCCCTGCAGCATCGGCTGTACAGCCCTCCGTCACAGTCACATCGCTACCGCTAACGCGACCGCCTAGGCCCTCAACCACACTCCCCCCTACAACATCGATCGAACTCCCTTCCGTTACAGTCATATCGCTTCCGATAACGCGACCGCCCCTACCTTCAACCACACTCCCCCCTACAACATCGACTGCACTCACTTCCGTTACAGTCACATCGCACCCACTAATGCGACTGCCTATGCCCTCGACCACACTGCTCCCTACACCATCGGCTGTACAGCCCTCCGTCACAGTTACATCGCTTCCGATAACGCGACCGCCTCTACCTTCAACCACACTCGCCCCTAAAACCACAAATGCATTCACTTCCGTTACAGTCACATCGCTTCCGCTAATGCGACCTCCTATGCCTTCAACCACACTCCCCCCTACAGCATCGACTGTACTGCCATCCGTCACACTAACAGCGCCTCCGCTAACGCGAACGCCTATGCCCTCAACCAGACTCCCCCCTACAGCATCGACTGTACTCCCATCCATTACAATCACAGCGCTCCCGCTAACGCGATCGCCTATGCCTTCAACCACACTTCCCTCTATAAAATCAACTGCACTCCCTTCAGTTTCAGTCACAGCGCTACCGCTAATCCGACCGCCTATGTCTTCATCCACACTCCCCCCTACAGCATCCACTGCACTCCCAGCCATTACACTCACACCGCTTCCGCTAACGCGTCAGCCTGTGCCCTCAACCGCGCACCTCTCCACCCGATGTAGACCGCTTAGTCAGAGCCAACCCTCCACATCGAAACCACCCTCGTCCATAAAGTCTACCGCGCGCAGACGCAATCTCCCCCCCCCACATCTATCTCGCCCCCTTCCGTGACGGTAACTGTGGTTCCACCGAAACCGCGTGCGCCCTCCTCCGCTCCCCCTCCCGCACCGCCCCCCGCGGCAGCCCTTCCTTTGCGTCCCCGAACACCCATCGCCACCCACGCGGCGATCGGTCTAGTACTCTCCCCCGCAAATCCAAACGGCACGCTACCAGCACGGCCTACCTCCCTCCGTTTAGTGCTTCCATCTGCGCCGTCTACCTCTACCCGCGCGCGACTTCCCGCCCCCTCTACCGCTACCTCGCCCGCATTCCCACCGGTGAGACCTGCCGCCCTCCGTCTCGTACTACCCCCCCCCCCCCCCCCCACGCCCTCGAGTACCATCCACCCCAACCCCACCATTCCGTCCCACGCTTCCTTCTGCGTCTCCCACATCTGCCACCGCCCCCCGTCCGCCGCGCCCCGCCCTCTTGCTAGCGCGCGCCCCCGGTTCCTACTTGCTCCTACGTGTAGCTCGCCCCGTGGACGGGCCCAGCGGGCGCTAGGATCTGGGATCCCATTGAATCCACGGACGCTCACGGATCCGGATGTCGCGATATCCGCGCATCCATTGGAGACCGATCTTCGGTGCAAGGATCGCCCTCAGGCGGATTAGCCGGATGTCGAAACGTCCGCGCTTAAGAAGTGAAAACGGAGGAGAACTATTATCAAACGCTGCTCGACTCCTTCGCACTTATTCGGGACGACGAACTCGAATCAAGGATAGGGAACGTTCGATGAAAGGCTGATTTATTTACGCCACCGCTATATGACGCTGACAAACATGAAGACGTATAACTAAGCGAAGTCTTGTTTGTTCGTAGGTTACTCCTATTGTACATATAAATATGTAACAGACCAAATTTTATACAAGATTAAGTGTAAATAACAGTGTATGGTAAAATTATTCTAAAGTGGCGCGCCACGTGTGAAATAATGTGAGGACTACTATTAATTAGCTATATCAATTATATATTTTTTACTTCTAGATCTAAATGATTGAAAAAAAATTATACCATAAGTTGTCATGAGAAATGATAGGTACGCCTGTATATTAATAAAATTATGACGGTAAATGTAAAATATCTGATTCCATTTATTTCTATAAAAATATGTTTTAGTATAATCAAAGTATATAAATAGACAAGTTAATGTTTTAATTTATCGATACGGAGCGATGGGCGTAGTTTGTATGTAACTTTAACATAATTTCTAATAACATATTTAACTATGGCGTCAAATCTAAGAAAACCGTCGCTTAAGCTAAGTTATAGATTATTAAATGAATTTAGACTATATGAAATGATATATTTATATGTTCACTTGTTCCTCTGATGACATACATAATATATAGCGCGTAAATATTTTTACATAGCAATGCGACTGTATATCGTAAGTATTTCCTTTTACATAAGTAAAATTATATGAAGAAGAAAAATAAACTAAACTATGATTGATATATACGGGAATGCGTTTAAGCAAAAATCATTGTCATTATTTAAACTATGTTATAAGGTATACAAAAGTTTGTTGCAATATTCCATTGGTGGCAATAGAATTATTACAGTTATTTTCCACATACATGATATGTGGAAAATAACTGTAATAATTCTATTATTCGCTTAGCTTCTTTTTTTTTTTTTTTTTTTTTGAAGTTCTACCATTTTTTGAAGGTTTTAAATTAACTAAATCATGTTAAAAACATTGTTTTTTTAATTTTTGTAAAAAAAATTAGTACTACAAAATGGTTATCTTATCTGTATTTACACGATAAATGAATTTAGTTACACTGTGTTCATTGATTATTATTTAATAGTTAATCTGTTTTAGTAAAGAAATCTGTTGGTTCATTTATGTAATGTTATGAATAACTGTTAAATTTAAATAACTAAAAGCACGACTTAAGTTTTGAATGTCAACTTCCTATTACGAAACTAATGATTTGACATTGTTGTTTCAAATGATCAAATTCTTCATAAGTCTCTGTAAAAATGACTAGAATAAATTGTATACCATCCATTATTGATTAACGCGTACATTACTGCATTACATGTAATTATGTGCTCATATATATCCTACTAACCTGTCCAACCCCAATTGGATGTTTCGTACCAAATTGTCATTGTAAAATAATTTATTAATTATTATTATTTTAATTTTTATTAAATACTACGTTACTTGTTATCGACTCATAGGTTAACAGATATTATAATTTATTAAGTGCATAGCCGAGGGGTTTACTGTTGGAGTTTTATTCATGTTTGAAAACATACCAAGATGTGAGCGATTAGACCTAATAGGGAGATTTTCTCCTGCTGATGATATTACGAACATTTTTGCATAGATTTTCTATGTAAAAATAAAGACAGTTTATTTCACCTGCCAATAATGGCTATATTCACACATTTTTCTCTGTGTATGTAACCGCTAGATTTCTGAAACACTGATCATCGTAGAAGTTAACTAATCCCCTGTCGAATGTCATTTGAGTTGTCAAAAGGATGGTTAAACTATTTGATTTGATCATTCTGATCAATTCAGAGTCTGATTAATTAATTTCTACGATGATTAGTATTTCAGAAACCGGGCATAAGTATATTAGGCATACCGTTAGTGTAATTTGCGATGTCAACTTATGCATGGATAACTTCTTATCTCTAATAATATCCAATTCTTGTACCCATAAGGCTCTTCGATGTTTATTCAGTTTCTGAATACAAACCGAAAGGAAAGTTTTCACTCGTTTATGTTATACTAAAGTGTGTATTGTATCTAAGGCCACGCTGTATTTCTCCCTCGGCCCGATGCGTTAGAAAACTCACTATGCTAAGAATTACTGTAATTTAAGTGACCGTCGCAAATGTTTTCAATTGTTAATGGAAGTCTTCTATGGAGACGGCGCGCGAACAGTTTCCTTACGCTCCTTATATCTACAAACCATGTTTCTGCAATTTTTATCTAATAAAAATACTGTTTACACTTGATTGAATCATGTAAAATGTTCAATTTCATTTTTCAGTTCTATGTTATTGTTTAAAACTATAATTTAAAACTATATACTTTTCATGTATGTTGGAATGTCAGTCGTTTTTTTTAATGGAACTGTTCGTTACGCCCGCTCTTTGACCATGCGATCTATACTGTATAGGTAAATAAAAAATAAACCGAAATGTAAGATGTATCTTGTGTTTTCATTGCCCCTTTTTGTCTCAACCTCTTAAATCAAAAGCTTTAGGACAAAACATCCATGGCTACCCATGTATTGTCATCCTTAAGCATAATTAATGTGATAGAACCACGCAACAGTCTTCGCTGTTCAAATTTAATTTCAAAATATCTTAATTTCCCACGGTGTTGCACATGTCAATGGGTAGCGGTTATCGATTAATATGGCGTGAACCGCTAGTTCGTTTGCCACCTTCTCACATAAAAAAATTAGACTGAATTGTTTTCTGTTGATTTCATTTACGAAAAAAGCAGGCATTTGACGTCTAGTTGTTTAGACAGGCATTTTAAAAGTTCGCGCCCTTGTCGCATTTCAAACATTAATATAATTTTGTTACCTACTGCAACTATTATTGTGTCAGGCATTTTTCTGTAAAATCAGGTATTCCTGCAATCTTAAACCTTTCACTTGTGTATTATTGATCCCTATCACGACAAATCCAGAAAAATTAAACGAATGTATAATTTCCACAGTACCTATGTACTATGAAATTAAAATTCATCATAGATCCCAATTTTTATTCCCCATCGGTCATCAGTTCTTCGAGCTATGTGTCCTGTCATTGCCACTTCAGCTTGCAAATCCGGAGACATCTTAAGAGTCGCGGGCAAAAGCTAGATGCAAATGGCAGTGTCGTTCGTTGTGGCCTTCTAAGGGGGAAGCCTATGTTCAACAGTGGACTTCTTGCGGCTGGTGATGATGAATTATTGTATTAGCATTTACTGTCTCACTGTACATGTCTAAATAGGGTGAAAAAATGTAAAACACTGCATTCAGTATCTTTAATGTAAAAGTCAACAATATTACACATTCGCGTTAAATATTTTTATCCACAGTCTTACATGCTTAGTTATAATTTACATTCACTTATATTTGATAGATGGCTTGACATTTATAGCAGCTACTAGTGTATTTAAGAATGAAGAATCACGCGAAAATATGTAAGTAATTTACGAATATAAAATACCAATCCATTCCAGTTTATGATATATAAAAAAATAAAACAATCAAGCGCAGTAAATAAAAAAATATATTCAAATAAGTTGACAAATTTTCAATATTTACAGATACCAACCATTTTCACAAATATACCAATAAATTAGAGATTAAAGACGAAAATATCTTATCGAACTACTTTATTCCGCGGGCACCTCTCAACAATTGGCGGTATTGTTTACGCCTTGACACTTCACGCTTCTGACAGAAGGCCGATAACACTCATGACAGCTGTTAAAAGTTTTGACAGCTTAACTCGTAAACAGGCTATATCAATCAATTATTGAACTCTAAGTATTAACCTGACCAAATCTTGATACAATTAAAGTGAATTAAAGTGACAACCATAAGATACAAAATATTGTAAATAATTAACTCTCGATTTTAGGACACGGAATCTATAATTGCAGTTGGTATCCAAATAAAATCAGCGAAAATTTTTCAAACATCTTAACGTGCTTGCTACACTATGCGTGCAGAGCGTCAATATAATTATATTTTTCCGTTTTTTTTTTTTTGTTTAATAAGAAATCTACGTGTTGTTCATCAATTATTCTTAGCCTCAAACACTTTATTTCTTATTCTATTCAGTGTCAAAAATATCTGCATTTACTTATTTTGATCTCAATAAATCTGTTGCACATTAATATGCCTCATAATAAGTAATGTGTTATATAATTTTCAATAACTAAGGCAAAGTATATTTTTGTATTCAGTTATTTAAATGAACAAAAATGGCAATTGCATTAAAATTCATTAATAGTCAATATTTATAACATTTGATTTCTTATCTTATTATCATTTAAAACAGTTCTTATGCAAATGTGCTCACCAACATACAGGTACTGCCAATTTATATATAAAATTGTTTACTTTTTACATGGAATTTCAATTTATGGTATAACTGAATGCTTTACATTAAATTATTTTATTTGGTCAATTAACTGTATTCCGATAAACAATTACTACGTCAAAGGAGATTTGGGTTTTGTTACAAAGTATTGCTGTTTGCAGCGCTCGTCGAAGAGGAAAAGTAATGCAAGATTAAAAAAAAAATATTACTATGAAAGTCGCAAAATGCCCCAATTTGTAAGCGACCTACCCGACAACTCTACACACCCTTTTATATATCTTAAATTAAAACTATACAACACGAGAAATGTCTAGAAATATAAAATTGTGACATTGTTAACAATCATAATAGATTTGTTGCTATCAACAACCATTCTAACCTTCTATATATACTCCTAGAAGAATGCTAGAAGTAGAGCACATTCACATAGTGTGCGGGAGTGAGATAGAAATATTAGCAACATTAACTTACAATTGTGCAGTTTGTTGTTTTGCTTGAAACCTTTTCAAACAAGTTTCCCAGCAATCTTCTAGAAGCGAAACCACAATATATACTTTACAGATGAAATGTGGCCGGATGAGTGCAGGCGAGATTAATCCTATATTATGAACGCACGTGTGTTCACAGTGGAGGGTTTGGAAACAGTATAGGATAGTTTAGTTTATTTTGTATAGATACTCAGGCAAATATGTGGTACAAAATGCCGTCGGAAGAGGTTTGGTTACAAGTGCGTTACTATTGATTGCCAAAGGGATAATTATTATCGTCACGTAGATTTGTTTGTACCCACCCCCGCCTGCAATGTAATGCCGTCTTGACCCCGATTATGTCCCAAACAGATTATCTCACGGTACAAACTAAACGACTTGTTCCCCAAGCGAATGTGATTTTCTACTTACATTTAATACGTTTTATACGATCTTAACTGACAGACGGCGCTGTGAAAGTATAAGCGTGATCCATCTATAAATATTGTATAGTTTCGTCTTCAATCGAACGCATTATATATTAATACGCTATATTTAACAACGCCATCTAGTAAACATTTACAGAAAAGCTTTCGTGTTGGCTCCAGCCACTTTTTACGACCGTCGACTAAGGAATGTTAGTTAAAGTATAAATAGGACAAAGATACATAAGAAATTATTTAAGATTAAGTAATAAGGTACCTCGTAAGAAACATATACCCTTGAATTTAAATATTTGAAAACTATTATAACATTACGAAATTTTCTATGCATTGTAAGAATGCTGAAAAATATAACTAACAGAAATAGAAATAACATTCCATAAAATACGTAACCACTGTGCATTTACAAGGATGAAAAGAGATAAACTGAGAATTAAAACGGTAAAATACAACGCATATATAGATAGACGGATAGACGGATAGAGTGAAAATTTTCTTCGACTTAGCGCAGATAACATCCAAACGAAGATTGCCGCATTCAAAAACTAATTGAATGGATGAAATTTCCTAAATGGGCCCATTTGAAGTAAGCACACGTGATTAAAATTTCGCTCGGTCTATTTAACAGCGAGACAGGACGTTGTATGCGAAAAGGGCCTTTAACGCAATGCGATAAGGTCGAAATTGGAGCGGAGCAACGCGAACGCTTCAGATCTAGTTGAGGGGCGACATGTAGGTGATGTCGTCCCAGGGGTGGCGGTAGAGGGGCTGCTTCATGCGCTTCTGGTCCAGGTAGTGGCCCACCAGGCCGATGGTGCGGCCCAGGACGAACAGCGCGTTGATCGAGCCCATCTGGATGTAGCTGTTGCCCTCCTCCCTGCGGAGCAAGTGCAAAGTCAGCGGCTGGAATGGACCTTTTATTGTATCGCTAACTGCTTAGAATAGGCTGAAGGCGTAACATTCAGACAGAAGGACGAGATACACATAAAAGTATGTACATAAATTATGGCCTATGGGTTATTCTGATGTATAAGCGATATTATTGTAAAGTTTTATTAAAACCCATCTAGTGGTATTTGCGTAAAAGAGTAACAAACATCCATCCATACATACAAACTTGCCCTGTAAAGTATTTATAAATATATTTTTTTGTTTATAATAATACAATAAAGACGCGTTTTCTGATTGGATAACAATTTCATGAGTTAAATAGAACTACAATCGTAAAAAAAATAATAATTTAACAGTTTAAAACAATTACGTAGGTATGTTTTTTTTATTAAATCACAAATATTGAGGTATATTTTTATGTTAAGCTACAGTGTGTGTAAATTGCAAACACACCTCCTAAAAGCATCTTTACTTAATTTTTATGTATCGTAAAAGGAAGACGAGTTTAAAAATATTTACATCTTTTTTATTTCTTTACTTGAAGATTGTAAGGCATTATTACATGTTATTGGATATTTGTGATAACTTTCAAAAACCTTTTTATGGGTTAGAACAAGTAATATTTCCATTTATTTCACAATTTTATTTTATAGACTAAGGGATAACTGACGATGATGACGCGTTTACATACCATCCGATTATTAAATGTTCACTAGGTATGTATGTATCCGAATTGTGCGTTTAAAATATAAAAAAAAAAAACTATTGATAATCTATTATTAATTAATACGTGATTAGTGCAGATTAAAAATTTTATTTTTAGTTAGACTTCAACCCCGTGTAAAGGTTACACGCACTCATTTTTTTTGTACGGCGAGTAATTCCGAAGTCCTCTATCGAAGTGTGTACTTATAATTGTATCTATCGGACACGGCGTTCGGCGCGCGTGTGTGTACGTAACCGTGCGTGTGTGCGTGCGTGCGTACTGTTATATATTAATATTGTATACTTTAGGGCTGATGCATTCCACCTCTCTACAAAGGAGCTGTGTCAGCATATTCATAGTCGCTAAGCGCATCAGATAGATGCTTGTTCGAGGACAGTCGTAAGACAGTCGTAAGTTAGTCTCAATCCGGTCTCCATCCTGTTAAAACATTTTCTAATTCAATTTTTTAATTCTATTTTATAATAAACCAGTGTTAATTATTAATAAAGTTATTTTTTAAAAAGGCTTTTGAAATATCCCGTATAACAGTGCGTGCGTGTACGTGTGTGCGTTTCCGTTTGCGTTTGCGCCACTCACTGCGTGAAGAGCTGGCAGTGGCGGAAGAGGTCGACCATCGCGGCGGCCACTATTCCGTCCACGTTCAGGATCAGGTTGGGCTTCTTCCTGGTGGTGATGGCCTCCACGTCGAGCGCGTAGCGGGTGACGGGCCACGCGGGCCAGCGTGACGTCACGTACGCCTTCAGCTCGCGCACTCGCGAATCGGGGTTGTTGATCGACTTGACCCTGCGGGAAGATTGCGTCGAGCGAACAAGTAAGCAACTGTGGTAGGGACAAGCAACTGTGGTAGGGACAAGCAACGATTCAACCTGGAGAAAGATTGTATCGAGCAGACAAGTAAGCGACTGTGGTAGGGACGGTGGTTCGCTGTTGTCCGGGTAAGCACCTCGACCTCACGGATAACCTGCGTTAAGTGGAAGCGTTACACTTCCGCGTTTTGTCCGGTGAGTGAGGTAGCCGGGGCCCACTGTACAGAAAGTTTGCGTCCCTACGTATGTTGTATGTAATCTACAATCTACCCTGCATATGTTGTAATCCACTTAACATCAGGCGAACTCCCAGCTCACTTACCATTCTTACATATAAAGAGTTATTTAAAATTTCCCCGTGATTGCGGACTAATTTGCTAAATGAGCCGACTAATATAATTTTTTTTAATTGTTTATATTCCAGTTGTTACATAACACACACTCTCCGTTTAACCTCTAAAGAGGAACTACGTCTTTGCCCAGCAGTAGTGCATAACGTACGTAGGTTGCCACTTTATTTTCCCAATTTCTGATTTGCCCATGTGTATGTTTGTTCCTCGTTTATTTGCCTTCGTGTCGGCCGATGGGACAGACACAGACGCAACGTTGTATTTCAGTCTGAACGGGTCAGATCGAGACTCCCACATTGTTGACCCTGGCCCGGTGGCAAGGGATCAACAAAAGTGGTCACGCGGACGATGAACGGTAGAAATCCGGCCGGGCGCTGACCTGTGGCCGATGCCCATGATGAGCTCGCCCTTGGCGCGCTTCTCGTTGACGAACTCCTGCGGGTGCTGGCCCCGGTCGTAGGCCGCGCAAAAGTCTGCCGCCGCCCGGTCCAAAGCGCCGCCGAACCGGTCGCCCTGGGGCCAGATACACCAACGGTTTAGTATTTATTCATATAAATACATGAAAATATACGTAAATAGATTCGATCTATAATTTTACATTATCGGCTTGACCAATTGTTTTGAGCAATTTCACGAAAATAAATGTTCAATATGCAGTATGTGCGCGCTTCGTGCGGAGTTGATTATGATTTGTGTAGAAGGGGTTGGGTGGAAGTCTCAACGACCATCGCGACCTACAAAGCCCTTCGAAGCTAGCCAGATAGCTTTCTTCAAATTAGCAACAGAATGAATGTCTCCTCGAAAAAGTTCATTCGCTTGGGAGCAATCAACTCATTTATTTATTCTTTATTGAAAACACCTCAAAAACGGTTACACAGGGCGAACTTAATGCCTATTGGCATTCTCTACCAGTCAACCCGGGGCGTGAGGAGAAATCGTGGTAGGGTATTCCCATGGGTTACTGTCATTCACGTATTAATTTACATCGAAACGACATCATCGATGATTCGTGTTAACGTCCCGCCACTCACGATGGTGAGGAGTCCGCTGACGACGGAGGAGATGAGGTCCTTGCCGGCGCGCGCCGTCACCATCGTGTTGTGGGCGCCCGACACGGCGGGGCCGTGGTCCGCCGTCACGATCAGCACCAGCTCCAGGAAGCGGCAGGCCCACGGCGGCAGCTCGCGCTGGAACCTGACGGCCGAGAGCGTTAGTGACTCAGTGCCGACTGCAACGAGCCACCACCCCCTCCGGTTGCTATGGTGACGATGGGTCTACCCCCCTCCACCCCTCCAGTCCCCTTCACTAGCTGTAGTGACGAAGGGTCACCTGAAGCCACTGATCTAATGCTAATCTTCCGTCTCTTCCTAGCGTTATCGTCATCCTTCTTCAACATATCAATTGTGTAGTTTTGGTGTTGGATTCATTTTTTTACCACCGATCGCCTGCCCAGACCGAGACAGCTGCTCGAAGAATATCAAAGAGACGGAAGATGGTCTCCGGTATAAAGTTAGACAGGGATGCGTGTCAGTTTTAGAGTAGAATATATTGGAGGCGAGAGGTGGATCTGAATGGAGGTGTATGCCGCCGTGTCAACGGGAATAGTGGCAGTCATATGCCAAGTGGCCGGTGGCATATGACCGTGACAAAATATACGGGTGGAGGTGGCATATGGTCAGTGGCAGGTGGCAGATGGCCAATGGCGGGTGGCAGGTGGCAAGTGGCAGGCCCTCACCAGAGCAGGCTGATGGTGCCGCCGACGCCGAGGCCGCGCTCCAGCACCTGGCTGATGGGCACCCCGCAGTAGGTCAGCTCCTGGCCGCGCTCGTCGCAGATGGTGCTGATGAAGGCCGCCGGCTTGCGGATTATGCCCAGCTTCTGCAACCACCCAAACGTGCGCGGTCAGTACATGAGGCAACCACGCCCTTGTCTGACATCATTAGTCTGACAATGTTATCGATGTAATTGAGACATCCAACGTCTTGGTCTGTCACGTGACTGGAGAAATGACCCTAATAGTCTCATATCATCAGAAAAGCAGCAGAGGCATCCACGCACCCTCGCCCAGTCGTAGTCCATCGGCACCTTCGGCGGCGCCACCTCCTCCTTGACGAGGATCCTGCCCTCGGAGACCAGCCGGCGGTAGACCGAGTTGACCGCGTCGCCCAGCGTGTCGAACGAGTCGGGGACGGTCACCCCGCAGGATTTCAGGGCGGCGTTCTTGGCCGCCGCCTTCTCCAGGGTCGAGCCGGCCAAGGAGCCAGCGTGGCCGAATTGCACCTCGGACGAGAACATGTCTGCAATACAAAGAGGTGGTTTAGGGTTCCGTACACAAAGGGTTAAACTCGAACATTCAACGAGTATTTCATTGAAAGCAAATCGCCAGACCACCATCCAACTAGAGTACATTAGAAATAGAGAAACTTCTAGAGTACATTAGAAATAGAGAAACTTCTAGACCCACCGGAGCAGGTGCCGATGCACCAGGCCACCATGGGCTTGGTGATCAGCTTCTCCCTGATGGCGCGGCAGATGTGGTACTCCTCCACGCCGCCCACCTCGCCCAGCACCACCAGCATTTTCACGTTGGGGTCGGCTTCGAACCTGGCGATGTATGTGTGTATGTATACATATTTCAATATTAAAAAAAAAACTAAAAAACGTAACAAAAGTTCAGAAAAAAAATTTTAAATTGTTTATAGTGCTAATCTTTGCACTTAAGATTGAACATTAAAATATGTAGAAAAAGTGTGAAAAGATTGTCGCCGCTGTGGGAATCGAACCCACGTCTTCGGCATTCGCGGCCTGACGCTCTAGCCACTGAGCTAAACGGCTGATAGCCACAGCGACGAAAATCTTAACGCTTTCTTTCTACATTGTTATTTAACATTCGAAGCAATGCTTGGCGCATCTATTGTTATATCCTTTCCAGCATACAAACAATTTCGAATATCGTTTTACAACGATAATTCGAACGAGAGTTGTCGCCATTGCTTTTTTAGAAAAAATTTTTTAAATTGTTATAGTGCTAATCTCGTTCGAATTATCGTTGTAAAACGATATTCGAAATTGTTTGCATGCTGGAAAGAATATAACAATAGATACGCCAAGCATTGCTTCGAATGTTAAATAACAATGTAGAAAGAAAGCGTTAAGATTTTCGTCGCTGTGGCTATCAGCCGTTTAGCTCAGTGGCTAGAGCGTCAGGCCGCGAATGCCGAAGACGTGGGTTCGATTCCCACAGCGGCGACGATCTTTTCGCAATTTTTCTACATATTTTAACGAAAGTTCAGTTTATACTTCTTTAAATTCATCCTCGATTGCTTAGTTTGAACGAAATCAATGGGTGAATGAAAGTATGCTTCGTTCGCCTCGACCATTCAATTCGCCAACTCGAATTGAGTGTCTGTGGAGCGAAATGCACAAACTCGATGAACAAACTCGTTCGCGTTTAGCGTCTTTTTACTCATTTCGAATGAAGTATCAAAACGAACGAAAGTGCGGGCGGAACAAATTGCTATCAACGCTAATGGCTCGAATCGTATAGTATACAGGGTGGCTTTTCTAAAGGTGCCCAAATTCACATAGGAGGTTCAAACTCGTCTAGTATAATCGTTTATCGAAATAAAAACAAACTTCTTTTTGTCCAAAAAATAGCTGCAATTCTGTTCCCTAAAAAACAGAACTTGTTGACAATGCGGTGGTCATTCATAAATACGTCGTATACTTTTGAAACGAACTTGTGTGCGTGTTAGCTATGGAATGATCGCGCGTAAAATAAACGAGTTGCCCATAAATCACGCACTTTTTGAGATAAGTTCTAATGAATATAATTAATGAATTAAGAGTGATTTTTTACATTTATAATTTTTATATAACATTATTTATGTCTAGAATTTAATGAAAAAAAATGGATACACTTAGAAAAGCTTCCCTATGTGACTCCCGTGGTCGCGAATGTCCGTGCCAACATCGGGTCGAATTAACATCAGGTGGACCGCCAGATCGCTGGCATTCTTATATTAAAAAAAAAAGCTCACCTGAGCAGATGGTCCAGGAACGTGGTGCCGGGGTAGCGGTCACCACCGATGGCGACGCCTTCGCACACGCCGTCCGCCTCCTTCGAGAGGATATTGTTCAGCTCGTTGCTCATGCCGCCAGAACGGGACACGTACGCCACGCTGAGGGTTAAGAACCGTATATTAGTTGAGTTTTTTTTTTAATATGGGGCCGTCCATTTACCACGTGAGGTTCCGAAAAGTGGGGGGGGGGGGGGGGTTTGGCAAGAATCACAAGAGGAATGGGGGGGGGGGGGGGGACGATATCCATAGTAAGATATCACGTGTACATTTTTTGCGGCGTGCAAAACATAGAAAAGCAACAACTCGATCTATGCACTCGACGGTACTTCCACATTGCTCACATATTTATTTAGCTGTAACCGGATAAGCTCAGTGTCCGGGTCCGGGCCTTTAATTCAATATCCCGACCAACCCGAGTTCGATCCCCGGTGCAGACACCAACGAAATTATCAATTCCAAGTGCTGACATATCAGTACATAGACGTGCTCAGCGGTGAAGGAAAACATCGTGAGTAAACGTGCATATTTACTGAATAATAACAAAAAAAATAATCTAAGATACGCGAAATCCGCCGATCGGCAGTGGGATATGCCCTGTTATCCTGTACAGAGCAGGCATTTGCCCAGCAGTGTGGGACATGTATAAAAGTAAAGTAACAGGCTATACATGTCCCACTGCTGGGCAAAGGCCTGTTCTGTACAGAGGGTATTAGGGCATAGTCCATTGGCGGACTTCACATATTATCTTCGAATTATTTTTTATTTGTTATTATTTCGAAAATATGCAGGTTTCCTCATGTGATGTTCGACACTTAAAATTAAAAATTTCATTGGTGCCGGCGCCGGGGATCGAACTCAGGTTGCCCGAGTATATTGAATTAAAGGCGAGCGCCCGGACACTGAGCTATCACGGCTCGTGTACAGCATGTCACTATTAACCGCACCAGATTTCTGGAAGACACACCTGCCGGGCCTGTACAGCTTGCTGTCGATGATGTTGTCGATCATTCCCGCCGTGTTGCCGATCTTGAAGCAGCCCGGCTTGATGCCGCCCACCGTCGCCGGCCCGATGATGTTCACCTGCGCAAATTCAACTTTAACGTCATGCACATAAAGACCGGTTTCAATCAACCGGCAAGTGCAGTCACCGAGTATTTGCACCAGTGCAAATTCAACTTTGTTGCCTAGGCTTTATGCTAGTGCAAATTCAACTTTAAGCCTACGCACATAAGGGCCGGTTTCAATCAACCGGCTAGAGCAGTCACCAAGTATTTGCGCCAGGGTAGGTATTCTCTTACAATGGTGGAATCGAGATTAAGAGTGTTAACATCGAGTTAGTGTAATTAATAAAAGCGAGATGAATTAAAATGACCTTGTGAACAACTGACACTGAACTTTCAGTAATAAGATTTGTTTCGTTTTGATATCTATATATATAGATAAATAAAATTGGAACGTCTTTTTGAAATTTTTTTTACTAAATACATATGGATGTGTACACGGTACGTATACCAAAATAATTTATTTTACCATTTTTGTCTGTCTGTCTGGCTGTATTTTCCGGCTAATCTCTGTAGCGGCTGTACCGATTTTGACGGAACAATCACTGGCAGATAGCTGATGTAATAAGGAGTGACTTGGGCTACTTTTCGAAATTTTATTTGTTTTAAATTTCACGCGGTCGAAGTCGCGTCAATTAATAAATTTTTTTTTTTTTTTATGCGAAAAGTTGCCAAACGAGCAGACGGGTCACCTGATGGTAAGTGAATACCGCCGCCCATGGACATCTGCCACACCCGAGGGTTACAGATGCGTTGACAACCTTTTGAAAATTGGGCTCCGGCTACCTCACTCACCAGACGAAACGCGAAAGTATTAGTCATACTTCCACTTTACGCTGGTCTTCTGTGAGGTCGTGGTACTTACCCGGACGGGCCTGCCCATTCGTGCAACAGCCGAGGCTACTGCGTGGCCCTACCACCGTAAAGTAGTAATTAATAATAAGGTCTCCACTTACGCCTCTCGCATCTGCGACCTTGATGATCTTGCGCGTCATGTTTTCCGGTATGCCCTCTGCTATGATGACGATAGTGTTTATCTGCGGATGCTGCATGGCCTGAGGGGAGAGAACATGTGATAACATGAGAGAAGAATATAAGATTATGCATGAACGCTGTGTTAGCGTTGCGAAGTTTTTGACCTGGTATCGAGCGGCGGAGTTCGAGAATTACGTACAAGCAAACTTAAATGAATTGACGTCAAAGAAAATATGATAAGATTTGAAGGTGAGGTTTTCATAACATTTAGTTAATATCGAAATCTTAATTTCTAAAAGACCTCATCATTCCTCTCCGAGTATAAATAAGAGAAATGTTAAAAATTTATATTTAAAATTTAAGCAGAAAATTATGAATGCATTACATTTCGTTTAATCAATCATCAAATATGAATTCATCAAAGAAAGAAAAACAAGTATTGTATTATATTCGTCGTACAGTAAATTTAAAAACTATTCATAGACTTAAATATTATCATCGGTCGATATTTTATCTTCACTTACCAGTATTAAGTAATATCATAATAAAATAAAAACTAGGCCTAATAAATTAAATTATAACCATTGCTAATACAATAATTTAAGTTATAACTATATGCTATGTTTCATCATTTCAAGATGATTTATTTTGAAACTCGTGCTATCTTTGTCAGCAAAAATAAATAAGAATTGGTAATCCTACAATTATCAAAAAATCATATTAAGAAATTTTCAATGTATGAAGCGAAGCCAATGATGATACATAACATCAGCTTTGTATGGCTATGGCAGTTGTAACGATGCCCCTGATGGCGGAGAATGGTGAGCTGTGACGGTAGATGGTGGTATGTGGTGGCAGGTGGTGGTGGTTTACCTGCATTGTGCTGTCGTAGGCGGACCGGAGCGAGGCGAAGTTGACCAGGACCGTCGCCTCCTGGTGCTTCCTCATAGCTACGTCCATGTCGGAGAAAACTGGAAGCCACAATCTATTTATGTATACAACTCATCGTAATAGGGCAAGGATGGGGAGGTGGCGGCCAAGTCCGGCCCGCGATTACAACCCGGGATAAACAAATCAAGGAACAGAATGTCTATCTCAAATGTGTTTTACGATTTACTTCAAGTCACTTAGTTACACGATTTTATATTCCGGTGTCGGCACAAATTGAATTATTCATAGCAATTTTAAGTGCTGACCTTATCACATGCTCAACAGTGCAAGAGAACAAATTTTCAAACAAATACAATTAAGAAAAAACTATTCGCAGATATATGTGAAGTCCGCCAACTAATGTTGGGTTAGCGTGATGGACTTTGCCTTATTCCCTCTGTACAGAGAAGGCGTTTGCCCAGCAGTGGGACTTATACAGGCTGATGCTTTACTTTGCAACTATATACTGCAGTAACAAGATACACCCGGGCCATCGGAATATATTCTGATCGTCCCCCGCCCTTAGTCCTACCCTACATACCCCACATGCCCCACTTCTCACCTGGTATGAAGACCTCCTTGTTCCCGAAGTAGTACTTCTGCTTGTGGTCGGCTGTGAACGGGTACACGACGGCCACCACCGACGGCTCAGCGCGTCGACAGATGTAATCAAAGTCCAGCATTCCCTGGGGAGGGGGATACGGATCTGTTATCGGGAGGGGGGGGGGGGGGGGGGGGGCATAGACACAGACGCAAAGATCACATGAACTGAACTATGTAAATACAAGAGCATATTTCAGGACATATAATCCTTACTAATAGTATAAAGGCGAAAGTTTGTATGTATGTTTGTTACTCTTTCACGCAAATACCACTGAATGGATTTTATTGTAACTTTGCAATAATATAGCTTATATGTATTTCAGGATAAGACATTGGCTATGATTTATATACTTATTTTTATGTATACCTGTATTTCTGTCTTAATGTTACGCCATCAGCCTATTCTACGCAGACGTGGTCGCGGGCAGCAGCTAGTAATGAATAATTACTAGTTGGCAACCTACTTCAAGCTAGTTCAAAAGGGGGGAGGTTTTCAATTCGACTGTATTTTTTTATGTTTGTTACCTCAGAACACTCGACTGGGTGAACACATTTTGACGATTCTTTTTTTTTATTTGAAAGCTGGTGCTTCCCACGTGGTCCCATGTTAATTTCACTGGAACACCAATGAAATTAATTGGGATAATGAGATCTCCAGAGATACTTAGGAGATATATACTCCAGAGATAGAACAATGATAAAATGAATTCAGAGCGAGGTATTTGGAGTCGGTTTTGTTTCTCGTTACTAAAAACAGACACCCTCAGTTTGGATACCGTAAGTTTACTTTTAATTTTGAGTTTAAATTGATCAAGCGGCGGACTTAATGTCGACTCTGGGATTTTACTGTACATGCGCACGCTTTGCTCCATGAAAACGACCTATTTAGTTTTTGTGGATGAAACAATGGCGCAGTGGGGCGAGGGTACCTGGATGGCGCGGTTCTGCATGCCCCACACGATGGCCTTGGTGCGGTCGCTGAAGAGGGGCTTCGCCCCCGGCGCGAGTGGCGCCGCCCTGGCGGGCGCCTGCGCGCACACGCGCTCCAGCAGCGCCGACGTCAGCTCGGGCAGCTCCAGCGGCGGCGGGCTCTGCGGGATTTGCGACGTTATTTCTATAGGCATAAGGTTCAATGATAACATTTATTCTGACGTCAGGTGAGCTCTATCGTGGGCGGGCTTTGCGGGATTTACGACCTTATTGCAATACGCATAAGGTTCAATGATAATATTTATTCTGACGTCAGGTTTGGTTAGCTCTATGGGCAGCGGGCTCTGCGGGATTCAATTCTGCTTCAGGCTTGAGTGAGTAAGTGTGAGTAACTGTAGGGTTCAATGCAAACAACATCAGTTTCGACGTCAGGTTCGGGCCAGAGAAGCAACCGACTACCTATATAGTTGTCTCTTTTCGTTCCGTCCCGTTCCAAACCACGACGTCGCTTAAGAAGTCTTCGCTCCAAAAAATCGGGCAACCCACCACCGGCTTCAGCTTCGGCAGCTGCCTCGGCGCGTAGTCGAGCTGGTGGTCGGGCGGGATGGGCGAGTGGCCGAGGGCGAGCCCCACCACGGCGGTCATGTTCGTCTCCGGCCCGAACACGTACATCGGGATGCGCAGCCGCTGGCCCACTTCACGCATTTGCCTGTGCCACACGCCAAATTAGACTCTATCCCAACCGCTTAAGGTCCATTTTGCCTATGACTTGAGAAGGAAATGTGCATATTAAATCCATACTTAATATTATAAATGCGAAAGTAACTCTGTCTGTCTCGCTTTCACGCCAAAACTACTGAGCCGATTTAAATGAATTTTTGGTACACGGATAGTCTAACGCCTGAGAAAGGACATAGGCTATTTTTAAACGGTTTTATTTAGCTCGACCCGTACGGAATTTGTTTACTTATTTGGGTCAAATTTAGAAATTGAAATTTAAGTGCCTCTTCCCGTTGTCAGATTGATCTGGAATTTGGTACACAGATTTAATTTAGATGACAATACAATATTGTAGTTTTCAGTGCACATAAAATAAAACCGTTTAACTTAAAAGTTTTTAAACGGTTTTATTATTGGAAAAAATTGTTAAGAAGGGTTGAAAATATCTTGATATTTATTTAAGGGCTTCAACGCGAGCGAAGCCGCAGGCGGAAAGCTAGTACGGATATAAACGAAAATTTTAAATGAAATCTCAATAGCACACGCCATATCTAGTTTTCAAATGTTCGTTGTAAAAATGTTACGATGGCGTTAGCCATGGTAGAGCCACGCAACTGTTTCAGCTGTTGCAAGAGCGGGCAGGTCCGTCCGGGTAAGTACCACGACCTCACAGTAGACCGGCGTGAAGTGGAAGTTTATTACTTCTGGCGTTTCGTCTGATGAGTGAGGTAGCCGGGGCCCACTGTATTGTACGGTGGCCACGCATCTGCAACCATACGGGTGTTGCAAATGTCAATGGGCGGCGGTTATCGCTTAACATGAGGTGAGCTGCCACCTTTTTGCATTAAAAAAATCAGACTCTGCGTGCCACTCTGGGTAAAAATACGATAACAACAACAAGAACGGACCGACGACGTAATTCAGATGTTGTCGACGTTGTCGTGCCGAATAAAACACTTGTAAATAAAACATCATAACTGCGAATACTAAATGTTAAAATGTTTAAATTAAGCCTCAATAGTGAAGACCTCTCCAGTTTTCAAGTCCGTTGTAAAAATGTTATTTAGCAAAGTGGGTCACAAGTGGGAAAGTGGGTCAAAATCACTATAAAGGTAACTAGATTAGCGTTAGCCGAGCATTTATAGAAAAAAAAAAAAAAAAAAAAAAAAAAAGTAGATAAAACGTCGAGATTTTTGCGTGGTGTAATGTCGATCGCTTAGTGGCTACAACGTCTGGACGCGTAAGCCGGGCGAAGGTTCGTACCCTGACAGCGGCGAAAAATTGTAGACAATTTATCGAAACGTTTAAAAATTTTTTAATCGTTTTAATTAACATTGTCCGATTTGCGCGTTGGCATGAGCTTACATTTGGAAAAATACTTAAGACACGCATCGACTTTACAGTATTCGAAGCAAGTCGACGCGGCCTTATCTCTTACGGCACAAAGTCGAGAATGGCGCGCACCTAAGCCCCTCCTGGTAGTTGGGCCCGCCGCGCCTCACGAATATGGTCACGTTGTACTGCACCAGCGCGTCCTTGTACGCCTCGATGGCGGTGATGATGCCGCGGAAGGTGTCCGCCACGTTGGTGAAGTTCGCGATGCCGCCGCCGATGATCAGCACCTGTGGTGTACGGTTCGTCGTGAACACCACAGCTTTTTACCGTGGTAGGGGCCGCGCAGCGGTTTTCGGTGTTGCACGAATGGGCAGGTCCGTGCGGGCAATTACCACGACACCGCAGGAGACCGCCGTAAAATGGAAACGTCGCACTTCTGCGCCTCGTCCGGTGAGTGAGGTGGCCGGGCCCCACTTTATTGTTAAGACTTCGCGACGCATCTGCGACCCTACGGGTATTGCAGATGACCACGGGCGGCGGTTATTACTTAGCATCAGGTGAACCGCCAGCTCGTTTGCCACTTTTTCACATTAAAAAAAAATCATAATTTCAGCCTTTTCGAGCCCACTGGCCTCCCCCACAGAACGCCGCGACGGAAGATCCCGAGCGAGCCGTATCCAATTCGTCACCATCATCGTTTTAAGCTGTTCGAGTCGACTGCTGAACATTGGCCTCCCCACGTACTGCCACGAAGCAGGATCCTGAGCCAAGTGCATCCATCGACCTCCCGCACACTTGAACAGGTCACTCCGTCTAGTGGAAAGTTCTACACTACGATAGCTGATACGTGGCTGCCACTCAAGAGCCTTTCTTTCCGACCGGTTATAGTTCTTCGAGCGATGTGGCCGACCCATTGCCACTTCAGCGGTGACTAAATTCTTTACTTGAACATGAACAGGCTGATTTTCTGAGGCATGATATTCTGAGCGAGCATTTACTGTGGCGGGGGCACGCAACAGCCTTAGCTGTTGCACTAATGGGCAGGTCCTTACGGGGTACTTGTGCGTTTCCTCTGGGTCCCACCCGGGGCCCAGTTTATTAAAAGTTGCCAAAACATCTGCAATAGTACGGACGTTGCAGATCTCCTTGGGCGGTGGTTATTATATGGTTCGCTTGGTACCTTTTCACATAAAAAAACTCTAAGCTTCACTCACATGTACATTACCTTCCTTTACCCAAATGTTCCGTCTGTACTTTGCCCACGCGTACGTTCTATACTGTATGTACTTTACAACCACAAGTGCATTAATTTGACCTACATTCTATATTTTACCCACATGTACAAACTATACTTTATCCACATGTACCATCTATATCAAGGTATTGGCTTCGGCGTCGGGGGTCGTGGGTTCGATTCCCACACGGGACAACTATTTGTGCGACCCACAGATAGTTGTTTCGCATCTGGGTGTTTGTCCTCGTGCAATTTATGTTTGTAAAACGTCCTTACAACACAGGATAATGTTATCCTAAAGTGAGGGCAATGTTTTTTAAAAAAAAAAAAAATCTATACTCTACCCACGCGTGCATTCACCCAACTCGCACGTACACTCACACCGCCGACACACACACACACGTACTCTCCACCGACACACACACACACACACACACACCACCACACACACACACACACACACACACACACACACACACACGCACACAGTCCACCCACACCGGCGCACCTTCCCGTCGGGGTGCCTCTCGCGGCACATGAGGCTGAATATGGTGCGCGCGTAGTCCGCCGTCTGCCCCTCCGTGGGGGCGCCTGAATATTCTCCGTAGTTGGCCAGCTCGTGGGCGCCGCCGAGGGCGCAGACGGTGTCGCTGTACGCGACGGAGGCGCCCCCTCCCGCCACCATGGTCCACACGCGGCCCGACTTGTTCAGCACCGTCAGCTGCGGACGGCGGGAAAGTTTTTTTTTTAATAAAGATTTTACGGCCCGGCAACGAGGCCTTTGAGCCACGCCAGCGGAACGGTGGCTTAGCAGTAGGGATGTGAGAAAATAATCGATTCTTTTCAATAACAACAATAGATTTTTAATAAATCGAGTGTATCAATTTCACATAAAAGACGTACATAAGTATTAGTAATTAGTATTGTTATTTACGAAATAGCTAATATTTAGTGGCGTATCCCTTATTTTCAATAACATTGATTCAATCAATTTCATTCATATTTCTAAAGGGATTGAATGCTTCATATAGTTCGTTTTGATTGGTATTACGGTTGTTTGAGACTTTCTTTTTAACAATATACCTGAGATTTGTATCGCTTTTAAATCGGGACTATATGCTGGCCAGTCTAAAACGGATATACGCCGTTCGCTAAGGAAACATTAGACGCTATCGGCCGTGTGTTCAGGTAGGTTGGTAAGTAGGTTGATAGGTGATCACTTAAGTTCACTACTTTTTTTTTAAATTGCATTCTGTACACATTTCTTATTGTTAAGTTCATTGGTGTTACTTGACATACTTCGCGTGTGGTGTTTACCTTTAATTAATTGTGCATTCAGCTATAGAAATATACGGTGTACCAATTCTAATGAATGTATAAATGTAACAATTGCTGGTAAACCGAATAAATAAAATAAAAATAAATAAAAATAAAATAAAAATAAAATAAAAATAAAATAAAAATAAAATAAAAATAAAATAAAAATAAAATAAAAATAAAATAAAAATAAAAATAAAAATAAAATAAAAATAAAATAAAAATAAAATAAAAATAAAATAAAAATAAAATATGATCGGTGTTTCGGAAGCCGGGCTTGAAAGATGCGAGGCGACCAACGCACCTTGAGGCTGGCGCCGCTCTTCGCGTCCAGGTCGGCTATGCGCGCCTCCTCCGGGTAGGCGTCCCTCCCGAAGGGGGGCGGGAACTCGACGGCGCCCCATCTCTTCGCGCAGATGAAGTCCGCCGTCTGGTCCAGCTTGGCGGCCAGGTCGAGCAGGTACACCCGCTCGCCGGTGACCACGATCGGGTTGATCTCCATGTACGTGAAGTGGAGCTCGACGTACACTTGGTACAGCGAGAGGATGAACGTGGTCATTATCCTGGAAGGGAGGGGCGAGTGGTTTTTAAAATTTCAGTGAAGTGTTCGCTGTTGCACAAATGGACTGGTCCGTGCGGGTAAGTACCACGACCACACAGGAGACCCAAGTAAGTACTTCTGCACCGTCCCGTGAGTGTGGTGGCCGGGGCCTACTTTAGTAAAAAGGTGGCAACGCATTTGTAATCCTACGGGTGTTGCAAATGTCGATGGGCGGCGGTTATTACTTAACATCAGGTGAACCGCGAGCTCGTTTGCCATCTTCTTACATAAAAAAAAAATCAGCAATTCTAAAATGGGATGAGATCGTGTTTATTGTAAATAGTACATAACAGTTGTACAATAGCAAAAAAGTTGAAGTCAATTTCTGAACGCAGCGATGCTCGATAGCTATGAAATGTTCAGGTCGCGAGTTCGAATCCCGTGCCATTATTAATCTGGTGGTCATCGCCTTCATAAACCAGACACTCACCTGTACTCGTTTGTACCGTTTATCTGTACAGTGCAAACCTTAGTTTTAATAGCACATAAATATTGTGAACCATATCGCTCATCAGTGTACATACCCACACAAGCTGCACCCTCGCAGTATCTGTTTACGGTGACAGCCTTGTCGCGACAATGCCGTCACATTGGGACTAAGTCAATCGAGCAAGTTCACCTAATGTTAAGTGATTACCGCCGCCCATGGACACCACAAGGGCTTGAAGATTTGACAACGTTTCAAATGAGCCTGCAACTCCCTTTACGAGCCTGCCCATTCGTGCAACAACTGAAGCTGTTGAGTGGCTAAAACAACCAACTGAATGACCAGCGGGAAAGATAGTGTTCCGTTTTATACTCCTTAGGGTTCAAAGTGGGCTAGTGAGTGGTGTACCTCTTGACCGTGGCAGACTTGACATTGACCAGCAGCTTCTGGTCGATGTCCTCGCCAGTGGGCACGGTGTCCACAGGCACCTGGAAAGTGAGGACGAGTCCGTTACAAATTCATCCATACTAATAATATACATATAAGCCATTTTATTAGTTTATGTAATGAGTAATCTATGAAAGTAATTTTTGTTTGTTATCAATCCAAGTGTACTTTATCTCCAACTTATATTGACAACATATAATTTAAATAAAAGTAAGCTTTTAGCTGTGATTGAAATACTTTGTTAAACATGGTGTAAATTGATAAGATAATTACTGAAAAATTTGTGTTTACATATTGTTTACCCGTACGAAGCCGGACTAATAAATTTGTTCATTATTATGTAATAAAAGTTAAATGTCTAAATACGACAGGTTTGGTACATGTTCAAAAAAAATCTCGAAATTCACACTGCACAAAAGTGAACTCAGTGTAAAAACATGTACACGACTATTCAAAATTGTACACGTCCACACCTCAACGCAGTGTAAAACATGTACACGACTATTCAAAGTTGTACACATCCACACCTCAACGCAGTGTAAAACATGTACACGACTATTCAAAGTTGTACACGTCCACACCTCAACGCAGTGTAATAACATGTACACAACTGTTCAAAGTTGTAACCGTTCTCACCTCCACGCAGCGTAAAAACATGTACACCACTGTTTAAAGCTGTACCCGTTCTCACCACAACGCGGTGTAAACATGTATACGATTGTTCCAATATATACACGTTCTCATCTCAACGCAGTGTAAAACGTGTACTCGATCGCTCATAGTTGTACACGTCCTCACCTCGAGTCTGAGGGCGACCGCGTCCACATCGCCCACGTCCACGCCACCTTGGTGGTGGAACAGGATGGTGTCAGATCGGCGGCCCGACTGGATGCACAAGTACATCTCCTCGTTCTGTATACAACCAACAAGTTAGAACCTGTTAATAATAGATAAATAATTATGTTTCGACATAATATCTTTCTTAATAGCCGTGATAGCTCAGTGTCCGGGCGCTCGCCTTTAATCCAATATACTCGAGCAACCTGAGTTCGACGATCCCCGGTGCCGGCACCAATGAAGTTTTTAACTTTAAGTGCTGACTTATCACGTGCTCCGCGGTGAAGGAAAACATCGTGAGGAAACCTGCATATTTTCTAAATAATAACAAAAAAATATTTTTCGAGATATATGAAATCCGCCAATCCGCAGTGGGGCCGCGTGGTGAACTATGCCCTGATACCCTCTGTATAGAGGAGGCCTTTGGCCAGCAGTGGGGGACATGTATAGGTTGTTACTTTACTTTACTCTGATGCGTAGACACAATCATAAACAGCCAGACATAATAAAAACACAGCGTTCATAACAGAAGATGTGCAGCGGGGATCGAACCCTCACCACCAGGCACAAGAGTGAGATCCAAATCGGTTTAAACACTTTGTAATCATAACAAAACCTATATCGAAGTCACTTCACTCTTGGCAGCCCGGGCTCTCCACTTGTGTCACCGAAGACGAAGACTTGGATCCCAGAACCAGCACACTAACTTGCCGTGCGCTTCCACACTCCTCAGACCCCGTATTGGGTCACCGCTTCCTCAGCTCCTCAGCCCCTGTATTGGGTCCACGCGAAAAACACCAGACCCGGCCCCCAACTCACCGGCTCGTGCCTCACGAAGGGCTCCACCACGAACCGCCTGAGCCTGCCCACGGCGGCGCCCACCCGCTGCTCCTTGCCGGCGTGCTCGCTCAGCCAGCGCCTCACGTCGGCCGCGCTCTTGTTCACGCCCACCAGGCCCAGCTTGCCGCGCCGCTTGATCAGCTGGTCGGGCTTCACGACCAGTTGCTGAGGGGAGAAGGGGGGATTGAGAGGTTGGCGAGAGCTGGTCGGAGGGGAGAGGTAGGCGAGATAATGGAGGACATGTAGGTAAAGAACGGCCACTCGGTGGTATTTCTTTATGTTAGAAGGTGGCAAACGAGCTGGCGGTCCACGTGATGTTAAGTGATAACCGCCCATTTTACACCAACACTCATAGGTTTGCAGATGCGTCGCCATCTTTTAATAGGGGGTTACCCCATTCACCAGAAGAAACACGAAATTATAACCCTTCCATTTCACGCCGGTCTTCTGTGAGGTGCAACAGAGGAGAATGTTGGTTCGACCTACCACAGTTAAATAATTAAAGTGATATTATGTGAATGAAAAGACTCCCACGGACATCTAAAACAAATAAGAGCCCGCAGATGCGTCGACAACCTTTATAGAAAGTGGGCACTGGTTACCTCACTTACTAAACGTAACGCGAAAGTATATACTTCCACGAAGGTCTTTATTGAGGTCGTGGTAATTCCCCAGTAGAGCCTGCAGTTCGTGTAACTACAGCCCAACCAATCGCAAATCTGCGGTCTCAATGGGGACTATTTTCCCGTAGGGTCGAATGAAGGTTCCGAGCGGCAGGCATGGGGTTGTCTGGCGCTCAATACTGTGCTCATGAGGGGTTCTGTGCCAATTGCACCGGCACAGCACCATTTAGAAGAGGAGGCACAAAAAGGCCATAGTTGCGGAAGATTGCGTCCACGTATTTCCGTGTCCCTGGTCGATGCGACAGAGACAGTTGCAGCGTGGGTTTCTTAGTGGGTACCCGTTTCCGAGACTCCCCTGCCACTCCCCCGATCTAGTGGCAGGGGATCCCTAAAGGATTTGTCCCAAAAAAAAAACAAGGTCGAATGAAGGTCGACCGGTGCCTTACCTCCTTGGTGAGCCATGGGTTCCTTCCGATCTCGTCCTCCCAGACGGTGCTCTGCTCGAAGACGGCGTACCGGCATGGAACCAGCGCCGTGCCGGCTGCTATGTGCCTGTGGGGCAAAGAGATGGTATCTAAGCATTAAGGTCAGTCTATATGCCGTTAGAATAATATATTTCATCATCATCTGAGGAGGAGGTTCTCAATTCGAGTGTATTTTTTTTTTATGTTTTGATTCAATGAACCGATTTTGATGATTCTTTTTTATTTGAAGGCTGGTGCTTCCCATGTGGTCCCAATATTAATTTCATTGGTATTGGACCTTGGGCTTCGGAGATACATAGGGAACTCCTGAAAATCAATTATAAAATGAATACAGAGCGACATGAAGTCAGTTTTGTTTTTCGTTAGTGAAAAAATGGTCGGTGGTTTTTTATCCTATGGACCGCCCGCCTGACGTCAAAAGTTGTCCTTGGGAACAAACGCCCAGAATCGAACATGAAAAATTTCTGAGCGTCAAACAAATATTTTTACAGTGAGGGAATCGAACCCACGACCATGCGACCGAGTCGATCGGGTTTCAAAAAACGATGTGTCATTTCACATTATTCGGTGTTGCCAGAGGCGAAGGTTGATTCTTAACACTATGGTTTTATTAAGAATTTAATTCCCATATCCGATTAATCGAACCCACTGACGCCAGCGGCTTAACAACTACGTCACCGAGTCATCAACACAATCAGATTATTTGTAATTGTACTTGACAATTTTATTTAAAGGCATTATAAATGCCATCCATTATTTCTGCCCAACGATAAAATTTTTAAATCTCTATGGTTTTATTAAGAAGTTATTTCCGATATCCGGTTTTTGTAGCAGTGTTCTGTCACACCCAAATCAATCTCCTTCTCCCCTCCCGCTCTTATGTACATAGTATATATTTTATATCGCTAGTATATCAATGTCAGTCTCCGATCTACTGCAAAGACAAAGAAAGCGGTCACTTGACATTCGGTTCGAGTTTTCAATCTTTAGAATTAAGAGCCTCAAAGGTCACATTGAGGTCAAGTAGAATAGGCCTTGATGTATTATAAAATCGCGCGCCCTTTACTTATGTCGGGGCGAGCAGAGCTATGTGATTCGATGGCGCGGTTGCGAAGCCATTGACTTCGGCACCGGCGGTCGTGGGTGGTTTTATCCCCGGCGCCAGCACCAATGAAATTGTTAATTTTAAGTGCTGACTTATCACGTGTCCAGCGGTGATGGTAACCGAGGAAACCTGCATGTTTTCGAAATATTGACAAAAAAAATATTTTGAAGATATGTGAAGTCCGCCAATCGGCGTGGACTATGCCCTTATACTCTCCGAACAGATGAGGCCCGTACCCACCAGTGGGATGGGTATAGGCTGTTACTTTACTTTTGTTCCCAAGAAGCGTTGTTTTGTCGACCCCTCATAAAGGACTGGAGAAGGAAGGGGCGGGCAGAGCCCTCCGACATAGTGGAAAGGGGGGACAGAGCTTTGACTAACCAATTTCCCGGTTGAGCCACCGAAATACGTTTAAAACACCAGAATAGACGATGCCTTGCCGGTTACTAAGATTAACTGGCAGCGACTTGCAACGGCTTCTAGCCTTCTACTGTTGCACGAACGGGCAGTTCCGTCCGGGTAAGCACCATGATCTCACAGAAGACCGGTGTGAAGTGGAACTGTTACACTTCTGCGTATCCTTCGGTGAGTGAGGTAGCTGGGCCCAGTTTATTCAAAATCAAAAATATATTTATTCACATAGACGCTTGCGCGTTCTTATGAAATGTCAAAAATTTTACATAAAAATTAATACGTTCGTAAGTTACCACCGGTTCGGAAAGCAGTTTCTGTTGAGATGAAACCGGCAAGAAACTCAACAGTTGCTCTTTTTTAAAACGATTCTTTTTTTCTTTTCTTTAAAAACACTGCCCTTACTTTAGGATAATATTATACTGTGTTGTAAAGGACGTTTTACAAAGATAAATTTCACGCGGACAAACACCCAGATGCGAAACAACTATATGTGGGTCACACAAATAGTTGTCCCGTGTGGGAATCGAATCCACGACCCCCGACGCCGAAGCCAATACCTTGGCAACTGCGCCACGGAGTTCGTCAAATAGTTTAGTTTAGTAGGATTAGTTTACAATATAATAGAACAACTATGTCATTTTAGCCTACGTGAGTATCAACAGCATTAACCCCACACATTGGCGTCGTCAAGATATTCTGCAATGGTATAATATGCCTTAGCCATAAGTTCGCGTTTACTTTTGCATTTAAATTCATCTAGTGGCAGACTTAATACCGATTGTGGGATTTTATTATACATGCGCACACTTTGCCCCATGAACGATCTATTTACTTTTTTTAGACGAAACAATGGTGTAATTAATTTGTCCTTATTTCTAGTATTTAATTTATGTCTGTCACTATTCAGTCTTTAGATAACAATTAAGGTTATGTCTAACGTACAAGATATTACAATAAATATATTGGGACGCAACAGTGAGTATATTAATCTCTTTAAAAATATCTCTGAGTGTATCCCGGGCTCCGATGTTATAGATTGCTCGGACAGCTCTTTTTTGAAGAATAAATATAGAATTTATATCAGATGCACTACCCCACAACAAAATGCCGTACGATAAGATACTGTGAAAATAACTAAAGTAAACAAGTCTGGCAGTCTATTAGAAATAAGGTGACAATGCATCTGCAATCGAACGGATATTGCGAATGTCAATGTGCGGCGCTTATCACTTAACATCGGGTGAACCGCCTGCTCACCTTCTCACATAAAAAAGCTACAACCACAGAATGGTTGTAGGTTTTTTGTGTGACGCCATTGCAGATCAAGGGCTGGCTGAAAGAATTTGCTACGGGCCCCGCGCTTGCTTAGTCCGGCACTGGATCTGCCTGTGTTCACATTCATCGTAATACAAATGTTATATCTTATGTTATCCTTTAAACGAGCAATTCTTGTATATACATATATATATTATATATAATCGGAATCTCGGAAACGGCTCCAGCGATATTCATGAAATTTACTATGTGCGGAGATTTGGGGGCGAAAAATCGATCTAGCTAGGTTTCATTTTTAGAAAATGTCCTTTTATCGCTGTTTTCAGGGAATGAAAAATATCATTCGAATATGACAATAAATTTCGCCGCAAATATATATTATAAAATATAATAGCTCGGTCGGTAATGGGGCGGCTTCGAAACAGACGACCGCGGTTCGTATCACGATTACACACTTATTTTTTTTTAAATTTTTTCACTTTTTTTCCATACCAGATCATTTTCTTTATTTTTTATATTTTTTATTTCCAAAATACATGATTTACCACAAAAAAAAACCGGTCCTCCCGGTACTAAACATAGTATGTGTATAAACGTCCATTTTTTCTCCGTCATAACTTACATGCTTGTTTTTAAGAAGTAGATCTTCTTGAAAACAAGCAGTTAAAAGAATATCGGGGGTCCCGAGCGCTCACCTGGTGATCAGTTCTTTGCCGGTCGCCTCGTATATGGCCTTCGACGCCATCTCTGTCTCTCGCCGCTGCTCGGTTGGGCTATTGGTCTATTTTGCGCGCCTACCGCACCTCATATGGTCGATGGTGGTGGCTGAAACGAAAAAGAGTAACGATCGTAAATTTCGCTGTAAATTGACGAAGACGAAGAATAAACCACGAACAAATAGAAGTTGATTAAGGTCCGTTAAATTATAGTTCGGCAAACAAAGCTACGCGCTTAAATGTATCCGGACCATTGTTATGTTATATATATTTATTTCGAAGAAACACGATATTTAAATTTAGGTCCGGAAAAGTTCTGAATGTTTAAAAATTGAACTTGTTGAATAAAATTTTATGTAAAGTTTTTATAGTGCGCCTAAGATGAAATTAAAATTTGTAGAACCGAAAAGGCAATTTGTGGAATCGAACCCAAGGGCTTCCGGAATCGCGCCCAGAACGTTTATCATTCTGTCATTCTGATCAATTCAGAGAGTTTAAACAACCTTTTGGCAACTCAAATGAAATTAAAAAAAAAAAAGCCATTTGACAGCTGATTAGTTAATCTTTACGATGATCAGTGTTTCAGAAAGCGGCTAATTGCTAGTGCAATTAATTGTAATGTATTCTGCATTGGTTTTTTCGCATTTTAAGCAATTTCAATTTTCAACAAACTGATTATATTTCATGTCGGTCTTCAGAGGTGAATAAAAAGTTAACGAACGTCGCAAGTGCAGTGGTGGGAATTTTAAATGACTAAGGGCCTCTTTCACCATCTACAAGTAAAGTGTCAAGTAGGCTAATCACCACTTAAAGTCACCAGTAACTGCTTGTAGGAATTTCACCATGTACGATTAGCACTAACCAAGGGTTAAACTAGTCAGTAACTTACTTGCTACTACATCTTCCAATTAGCGTGCTTAACTGACGGTTAAAACACAAAACTACATCATTGCTATTGTCAGTTGGCCATTTTGTGTTTAGTAACAATGATAAAAATGGAAGTGTTTGATTTTATTGATTGTCAATTAGATTAATTTGAATTTTCTTCGATGCAAATATTATAAAACATAAAATAATTACCTACAAAATTTCAATGGTAAAAAAATCTTTTTAAAACCAAGGTTTTGTTTGATTGCCCTAAAAAGAAAGTAAATAAACTTTTAATTAATCAATATTTTTTTGGACGAATTAATTATTACAAATTAATTCATCCGTCTAAAGCAAAATTAGCATTTTTTTTATTTTTAAACTTTATATCGTTTACTGAAATAAAATAAATCAGAAAACCAAAACTAACACGCAAATTAAATACCACAGAATGACAACTATCAATTGTTTGAGAAGGGATGTTTGACGTAATATTGAATGAATTTATGAATGATTTGGTAAGTCAGTCCCTTAACCCGTAAGTTGTTACTTGGAGCTTTGATTTCGTTTGTGAAATTGACAAAAGATACTCGTGACTTTTACTTGCCAATTAGCGTTACTTAGCAAGTAACTAATCAGTGGTTTACCTGCGGATGGTGAAAGAGTCAAGATCAGCGTAGAAATCAAGGCGCGTACAATCGAGTGCAAAAATCGAGTTACCGCTTAATAGAACTGTAGGTTGACTGTACTATTTGTGCATAAAGGGTAAATAAAATAAATAAAAAAACCCTAAACAGGGCCATTTTTTATTAACGAAAAACAAAACCGACTTAAAATACCTCGCTCTGTACTGATATTTGATTTTCAAGAGTTAAAACCACTTCATAAATGACATAGTTCTGTTGTAACAAACATAAAAAATACAGTTGAATTGACAACCTCCCTTTTTTTTGAAGTCGGTTAAATAGCACACGCCACCCTTCTTCTAATTTATACTTAAAGCCAACTGATATATCAGTAATCATAACAAGTTGACCGATGCGAATTTTTTCACGCGGTTACCGTAATTAGTCACTAAATATTAATATACATATATGTATGTATATAGTATTTATCAAGGAACAGTATCTTATTTCTAAGAATAACAATAAATTTCAGTCTACATAGCTATCTTTCATTTAAAGAAATCCTCAATAGATTGGCATTGTAAATTATCGTACATACAAACTAATATAATAAAGCCGAATAGTTAAAATCTATTTGCATTTATAGTCCAATACATGAGTAAGGTAATAAATAGGGCATTTAACATCACGTCACGGGGTCGAAGCAAAAACCTTTCTCGCGGATAAATTTGCACGTAACAGCTCCTTGTAAGAAGTTTTTAAACGAGAGCTTTTTAATGACAAGATTAACATAATTTGTCTATTTTATTAATGGCGGCGGACATAAGCTTCAAAATGAACGTTATGACCATCTGACAAGACAACACCTATGAGAAATAATATAATAGATATGCTCACTTATAGATATATCACGCACCTTTATCCATTATATGACATATTTTCTCTTTTAACGAACATCGCTAAAATGACATACATATGTTTTTTTTGATGTGGGAAAGTGACAAACGAGTTGGCGGTTCACCTGATGTTAAGTGATAACCGCCATCCATGGACATTTGCAACACCCGTAAGGTTGCAAATGTGTTTGCCACCTTTTTAATAAAGTGGGCCGGCTACCTCACTCACCAGACGAAACGCAGAAGTGTAACACTTCTACTTTACGCCTTCTGTGAGGTCGTGGTACTTATCCGGACGGACCTGCCCATTCGTGTAAAAACTAAAACTGCTGCTTAGGCCAACCACATTAAAGATGTAGAAAAAGGAACAAAATATTTAATACTTTCTCTTGTAACAAACCAAAATGATATATGCATTAAAAACATCAAATACTCAATACATATAAATAGGCCTCGCCCGAACCTAAAACCGTGTTTATGGCCGAAAAGATATGCAACTTGTAATTATTTTATATCCAGTGCGTGACGAATCCTTATCTCTAGGTATTACAATCGTGTATTGTCACTGAATATAAAGAAAATTCATGGAAATCCAAACTAATCGAGTTTCGATGCGAGTGAAAGATTTATTTTGATCAAACAGCGATTGCTCTGTGCGTTTGATGCAAAAAAAACCTCCACGCCGGTCTCCCGTGATACTACTACACCTAGGGTTGCCAGCCATACTTTATAATAACGTATTCTTCATTATTTTTGGTAGACATACTTTATACTATTGCATAAAAATAAAGTATGTGAATAAAGCGAATACTCTATTTTCAATATTTACTGTGAACCATAAAAAACACAATGTATGGAACTATATAGATAAATACATTTTTATTGATACTTCTAAGTTGAAACAGAACTTTAGCTGTTAATTATGTTATGTTAATTATGTATTATGTATGTTATGCCGTTTTCACGATGGTAGGGCCACGCGGCATCCTCGGCTGTTGCACGAATGGGCAGTCCCGTCCGTGTAAGTACCACGACCTCACAGAAGACCGGCGTAAAGTGGAAGTATAATACTTTCGCCTTTCATCTGGTGAGTGAGGTAGCCGGAGCCCTATTTTCAAAAGGTTGTCAACGCATCTGGAACCCTCGGGTGTGGCAGATGTCCATGGGCGGCGGTATTCACATAACATCAGGTGAACCGTCTGTTCGCTTGGCAACTTTTAACATAAAAAAAAATATGATTTTTATTTTCAACCCAAGAAAAGTTTATCACTCTGTTTTTCTTTTACGATATTTGTCTATGATATTTGATATGTGTGTGCTACTTCATATTTTCCCAGGTTGTCATTTTAATAAAAAGTTACTTTTTTGTTTAAATTGAGAATATAAAGATACCTTCCAAAAATGTTAGTATAGTATAAAACTGTGTGTGCCAGAAGCGTTTAAAAATATATCTTCAAGCGGAGAAATAAATAAAATTTTGATAAATTATTCATTTTTCTTCTTTATACCTTATTTTTTCTCTACTTGAATTGAAAAGCGTTGGCAACCCTAACTACACCGTATGAGCGTGGCAATACCACAATGCAAATATGAAAATCGAGAGGACAGTTTTCCTTGTAGTTTTTTCCATCCGGTAGTTTTTCATGTAATAATATTAAAAATAAATGTAATAAAATATTTATATAAATGTACAACCTATTTTGGTAATTCGTGGATTAAAATCAATTTGCGAATTTATAAACGAAACGCCAAGGTAGTCAGCGTATGATCGAAAGCGTTGCTAACCGCCACAACGCACGCCGATCGTACAACAAGCATCAGGTTATGAATGTTGATAAAATGTCGATATATCGAAATATCGATATTATGCTATAGAAATATAGTAGTATCGATATTATGCTATATAATATCTATCACTAATATTTTATTGGATGATATGATTCGGTATTGAAATAGGAATATCGACCGTCGATATTTGTTTTAAATGATTTTATTTTACATATTTTATATATTATTTATACACTCTAATAACGATAAATAATGTAATTACTATCGATAAAAAAATTATAAAATATATAATTTTGGATCGATAGTAGACCCTTTATTCCCGTGCTATTAGAAATAGCTATTTCATTTCTTCCGCTACATCTGTAGCATCTGAAAAAATTGCTTCTACAATTAATATTTTAGTGCCTGGCAAACGTAGTAACTAACGTAAACTTAGTAGACAAATTTAAGATATAAAACAAGTAGATATTTCTAAAAACTTTTACCGAAATTTTTATTGAACAACAATTACTAATCTATAACCAACATTTTCAAATGTTTATAATTAAATTTATTACATGAATCCTGTATGGATTATAAATCGTCATATTTGAGCTGACTTAATAAGATTGTTTCTTTTTTTATTAAAGCCGATGTCGAAATATCGATTTTTTTTTTTCGATATATCGTAAATTCGACATTTAAATAAATATCGAAAGTCTTACAAGCAATTGGCGGCAAACAGGCCACAGGGCCGCGGCAGAGGGCGAAATGGGCCGTGATTGGTCGAAAAGCGTGGTGTGGCATCGCGTGATCCTACCACCGCGGCCGCGTGACCGTACGCGAATCGCGCCATTGTAAGGCCGGCGCTACATTGTAAAGCTGACTAGTCGGAGCGGGCGCGGGCGGTACGCAAACGAATTAAATAAGCATAATATCTAACGCCCGGTTTC